TTTTATTTGAAGCTGAATTTGATTCAAGGGTGGTAGACACTTGATCTTGAATCAGACTTGTGATTTCTTTAAGGACCTTGGGACTTTTTTTGAATGAAATGGGACCACGAGCAACTTTACATGATAAGTGATCTTTTGCTTTGTCGGGGATGAATCGGCACGTGTTTTGTTGTGCTTGTCTCCATATGCTTCAATGTATCATTTTCATTTGCCTTATTTGTTCCTCTTGTAGAAGTGGTATTTTCCCTAGTTTTCTCCAAGCAGGTGTGACATCTTTTCTTGCAATATTTGTCCCCTGATGTAGGAGTGGAATGCAATCCTTGCATTTGAATGATCCTTCAGAACATCACTTCGTAGCGACTCATCATGATTGACAGCTTCAGTGTAAATAGCCAACATCATATCAACAGTTGAAGATGAGTACTTAAGAGCAATGTAAGGTAAACAATCATGCAAAGGTTCCGGGCAATCAATTCCACATCGGGAGCTTGATTCGAAGTGGCAACTGATTGCTCTCTTTCTCCTTGTCTTGCAGATAAGAACAAAGACAAAAGAAAAGATAGGGAGATAGCATGATATGAGATACCCTTGCTTTCGACCTTGATGATATGAGATACTCTTACTCTGGTGTGACTTGTTTTGAAGAGGTGTTCTCGGAGAGGAAGAAAACTGAGTATTTCGAGATGCTTTGTTGAAGATGCATTCTTGGAGATGAGGAAAAGTTAGATATTCTTGCATGTCTACCTTGTTATGAAGAACGGAGGTTGAAATATATAAAGATTTCCCAATAGCAAATAGTGGTGCTATGCCTTTACTCTTGTCAGCAACTGTGGTGTAATTAGAACAGTAAAATTTACGCATTTTCAACTTTGTCAGAGATCTTTGACAAAGTTGCACGTGTATCCGAAAAGCTGAGATTGCATCTGAAAAATGCCAACGAACTTTAGTCATGAAAATCTGGCTTCTAAAATTTGAGAGTCGTGCCTCTTCGATCTCTGAACAAGTGGCCATATTGCCTCTTTCTTTATAGAGACATCAATTGTGTTCAAGAGTACGCTCAGAAAGTTGCTGCTTGTAGAAATTTTCCCTTTCTTGCATTTTTGAGATTTTATTTAACCTCAATTTTCTTTCATCATTTCTGAAAATGGCTTACTCATCTAGAATTTGCTTAGATTGAAGTCTCATAAGTGATACAGATGAGCAGCGTCAGGATAATATATGGCACTCGTCATTCTTATCTTCTAATGGTCATCTTATGGTTGGGGACTCTGTGATGAAGAATAGCATAACTGCTACAGTGGTAGCTAGGAATTTTCTCACTCCAAAGGATAACAAAATCCTTTCAAAACGGTCTGATGAGTCAGTTGTTCAAGACTTATTGGCTCTCAGTGTTCAGTATGCTAGCTCTGTTTCCAATATGTGCCAAGGCCTTCTTGCTCAAACTCGCCAAGTTGAATCATTGATGGTTGAGGTGGCAAGTCTTAAACAAGATATCAGAGGGCTCAAGCATGAGAATAAAGTGTTATATGTGCTTGCAAATAATTACTCCACGAACTTGAAAAGAAATCTCGACTAGCTGCTGGAATCCGAAAGTCGGATTCAAAGTGATCACCAGAGATTCGTGGCTAAATTCTTAAGGCAACTGATGTCTTCCCCTTCTAGTGTTTTGCCAAGTACTAAGGCGTCACATGATCAATCTTCAGTGTCTCCCCTTTCTGGGGTACTGCCGAGTAATGAGGCTTCACATGAGCAACCTTTGTGAAGGGATCCTGTTTGTTTGTTTTAACTCATGTATATGCACATATCTGTAATTTCTCAGAGATATTAATAGATAAGATTTTTTTTTTCATTATATGTATTGCGCTAAATATAATAAAGCATATACGTCACTAAGATGTGGTACTTCTGGACCAAATATCAATTCATCAGTTCCCTCACGATGATGAATGATTTTTCTTAGTGTCTAAATATTAATTAACCTCTTGATTGTTCAACTCATCCATATGATACTTTAATATCATAAACATCATGGATAATATTTGTGTTGACATATTGTTTGATCTGCAACTCGAGACAATATTTCCTTCAACACTTTATAATTTTTCTAGACTCTTTAGGAGTTTCAATTTAATATCATCAACTCTAGCAAAACTTTTAGTATATTTCATAAATATTATAATGATAATACTCAATAAGGTAATTTATACCATCAATTGGTATTGAGTACATAATTTATGTTTTACCTTTTCAGAGCTTACTTCAAGCAATTTGAATCCTTTAGAGATTTTCTACACTTCATGACACATTTTTCTTTGAAATTTATTCAAAGTAATTTGTTTCCATGTATACTTGAGGGATTTACTTATAGAGATATGATGTGGGCGACTCACAACTCTTCGTATATAATTCTCCATTCATATGAGCTCGTTTACAAAAGTATAATTTCAGGTTTCAATTAGCAACCTTCTGTCATATCATGGGAGTATATTTCACTGTATTACAAATGCACATATATAACCTCCTTGGTTCAACATCTTTTGGCTATTTATATTGTATTCAAGTATATAGGTCCATTTTTCCTCGCTCTTACAAAATTGTAATGGAGTTGCCTTTCTCCATTTTGGCCAATAATTTTTGTTTTCATTGATGAAAAAGAACGGGACTTAATATCAACACAACTCATTAATGACTTTAGTAGCTACTTATAAAAACCAAAATTACTATTGGTTATCATCAATTCGAGATCTCATATTCTCATGTGCATGTGCATGCATAAAAGCTTTTCATTTCTTTGGATATCCATTGCTTCTTCAAGGGTATTACACTATCTCTTCCAGGATAGTCATAATTTAAAGAATACGGATCATAACCTCTTCTTAAGCGTTATAGAGCTTGGATTGTAATCTCCACTTCTGGGAGTTGAGCCATTAGAACTCATATGTCTATCATGCTTCATGCATGAGACACCAACATTCCCATGTCTGCGGATTGTCCTTTTTGGGACGTATATCTATGTGGCGACTGTCATGTTTTTGACATGCAACATTTATGCTTTGGGAATGCAATAGTTCAGTAGTGTTATATTCTTCTTCTTTCAAATGACTAAACCTTTTGAGTCTGAAGGTCTGCCACGCTTTAGGCGTGCAACAAATAAATCATTTGCTGCTTTATTATTTTATCAAACGAGGACATCAATTCTTCTTGGCACATTTCCAGTAAGTATACGTGATTTCATCACTTTTACTGCATCATTAAATGCATCTGGCATTTGATTGATACATCGTTGCATCATTTAATTATTCTTACTTCATTTTCATGTTGATTGCTTTGTGAATTAAAATAAGACAAATTCTCTTCATTCTTCTGGAACAGTCTTTTCTCATTATTCTTCTGCAATGATATTTTCTCATCATTCTTCTAGAACGATGTTATTTTCTCCCTCTAACGATGAGAAAATTGTCTTATCAAAATGACAGTTCGTAAACCATGCGGTAAACATATCCCCAGTTAAGGGTTCTAAATATTGAATGATAAATAATGAATCCAACATAAATTCCCAGTTTGCGTTGATGTCTCATTTTAGTATATTGTGGCAGTGCAATAGGTATATAGATAACACAATAAAAACTCGTAAGCATCATGCAAAATAAAATGTACCTATGTAAAAACTGGGAATTTTATTTTCATGAGTAACGGGCAATCAATTTCAGCCGCTTAATAAAGGCTTCTGCTAAACCACTTTGAGTGTGGACATGAGAAACTTCTGGTTCTTATGTAATAGTCTGTAGACTAAGACTCTTATGGCTTTTATTGCAATTAAGTTGAGGCACTGCGATGCTTCAAACTTACGGTACTCATCAAGGAACTTCATGTCCTGATCTTGAGGATCAAGGAACTTCATGCCCAATCTTTTTGTATAATGGAACTTCAGGTCCAATCATTTTTATATGATGATAATCAAGAAACTACAGGTTCTGATCTGATCAAGGAACTTCGGGTCCTATATATACTCATTGTAACAAAAGATAAGTACAATAAATAAATTAAAGTAATATGCGGTAATTTCAGCCAGAGTGAATAAATTGCATTTAAATAAATAAAACTTGTGACATGGGCTTTAATTCAGCACCATTCACATAAGTCAAAACTTAAAGCAATAGGCGGAAAACCGTCCATAGTAAATAAATTGCTTTAAAGTAAATAGAACTTATGAAAGGATTTTAAGCCAACATCATTCACATAAACAAATATATATTTTTCCGTCTTTCTTTTCAGATGGTGTAACACCATCCAAAAACTTTTACCCTTTTTTTTTTTTTTAAATTATTTTTCTTATTCATTCACATGATGCCTTGCACCAACCCATAACCTTCCTTTTTCATTTATTTATTCTTTTTTTTTCTTTTCTATATGGTGTGGATGCATCATCAGAAACATTTGTCCTTTTCTCCTTTTGTGTCAGCATCATACACCAAAATTCCACCTTTCTAATCATTTTTCACACAGTGCCTGAAACACCATTCCATAATCCTTCCTTCCTTTTTCTTTTTTGTCTGTTTCTAGTTCTACCAGTCTTAAACCCAGGGCCAACTGGGTTGTTGTGGAGGTCACATAGATTCAATCCAAAAAGCTACCGAACACTGGCGTTGTTCTTGCATGGCCTAAAGAACATGGTATCGCGAAGCAAGAACCTCCCTATAGGGACATAGATGACAGCGGAGTTTGACAGAGGCGTAAGAGAGGGAGGCCTATGTGGAGTCAGTCCTGCCATCACCATCTCAAACAACCGAGTATTCATGGGAGTTCTTAAGATCCGTCGAAAACGACGTGTTCTAGGTTTCCAAGTCTGATGAGATTCTTCTGGATCTCTGGAAACCAGTTGTCAGGTATGAGTTTTCTTATCTCGTGACGACTACAAGTCGTTGTAAATTTCAATTCTCACCAGAATTCGGTGAGGCGCGTGCGGTGGGAAAGACGAACAAATAATGGAAGTCATATAATAAGATATATAATTGTTTCAAGAAAATCAGTAGTACATAAAATTTGAAGATGAAATGAAAGATTTTCTTATCTAGGAGATTTTAGCTGACGGAGATGAACCTGATTTGTGGCGTTGTGCTTTCCACTGACACAAGAGTTTTTCGTGCTGATAACGTGTTGTAAAATCGACGATGGGTGCAGTGGAATAAATAAACAAGCCATAAAATTTATGAGGTTCCTCTACAGTCAGTGTGACTGGAGTACATCCTCGGGGCAGTAGTGGTGTTTTCATTATACTTTAGAATAATAGGAGTACAAAAATAACTCTCTCTATTATCTCTTCTCCTATTCCTCTCTTTTCTCTCTTCCTCTTCCGTGAATTTCTTCCTTTAATGTTGTGTGGAGTTTGTATTTATATAGAAAATAGGAGTCGTAGAAAGCAAGCTTCGGTAAACAGTGGAATGACAACTTGCCCATTATTTAATTTATTTGAGTGGACATCCACTGTTCCACAACAATCTCATCATTTTTTTATATTTTGACTTCCATAAGATGCCATATAGTTAAGCTATTTTACAACGTCCTCTTTTTTAATTGATTTATTCATAAGATGATCGATCATACTTTAAACATGAAAACTGGCAAAGCAAGCACAAACACTTGTCAAAGTTATGATATTTTATAAGCCTAATCGGATAAACGGTTCTCGTGATGATAAGGTAGTTTGAAAGATAGTCTTGTGGTAAAAAAAACTAGGATTTAAACCCTCATAGTAGAATCCATTTACAAATTTAATCCAAAAATGATTTTTCTATTAATTATCCGTTAAATCCAAGGGTAAAAATTTACTTTGAATTGAGCACCTTCTTCCTCCTCTCTCTGCCACTGAATAAACAACCGCCTGTTTTGGCAAACCAAACACAACCCACAATTTTGAACCCGAATCAGACCTCAAACGTTCAGCCAAAACCTCTAATCATACCCATGTATAGTACTACTCCACCCGAACCGACAACCCTTTTGAAAAATCAGAGGGACAGCACCCACAACTCTGATAATTCGACAGCTTTTACGGCCAATCAGAAGGGAATCACCGCCCAAAAACGCCGGTGGCGGCCGGGAATGGAAGCTCCGAATTGGTACCGAAATCGGGGTTGGAGGACAAGAGTGTTGCAGTGAAGGGTGTGGAGAAGAATTTAACTGCTTCCCTGTTATAAAAATAAAGCCATGAAATTGTGATATGGTAAGGCACGATTCGTACCCACTATACAAACCGGGTTCATGTCATTGATGAACAATTCAATTGTATTCTCAATGGTACGTCTGATAAGGATTATCAGAAGTTCAATTGTTTTCTTGACGAAGAATTGTTTTTTTGTTTGTTTTGATCATGACGAAGACTTGTTAATATGAAATGAACTGTAGACGCAGAGGAGGAGGAAGAAGAGGGAAGTACAGTTTTACACCTTGCCTAACGGATTGTTAACGGAAAGATTATTTTTGGCCTAAATTTGTTAACGGATTCTACTCTAAGAGTATATATCCTAATTTTTTTTTTTATCATGGGGCCTATCTTTTATTATCTTATCACCACAATAACTATTTATCTAATTAGGTCTATTTTATATCAAATACTGATTTAGGCAAGTAGGACAACCTCAGAGGGCCTTATAAATTAGGAGCACAAAAACTTTTAAGTTGGCCTATATACGAGGAAACTTTTGGTTTTCCTTGCATACTGTGATGAGGTCACTAAAATTCATTAGTTTTATTAGTCAGACATGCTCCAAAAGAGAAAAGATGTATTTATTTTAGTGTTTGCAAATTGTAATGTTAGAAGCAAAGGCAGACATCCAGCTTATATAGTTTATTGAAGTACAGAAGCAAACACATATATATATATATATATATATATATATGATATCTTTAAGCAGTTGGTGTTTTGAAGCCTCCCATCATCTTGGTAAAGTCATTCATGTCGATTAAACCATCACCATCAGAGTCCACACCTTTCACCATATTCCTACAAGCCCCAAGGCTGCAATTCTCTCCCAACTTCTTCAACACCAAGGACAACTCCTCTGCACTTATTTTCCCATTCCCATCCAAATCGAACACTCGAAACGCACTTTCGATGTCCGCCTTTCTCGCCTCATCATTTCCCATGTTGAACATTTCCACAAACTCCGTGAACCCAACGAAGCCATCCCCATCAGAGTCAAGGGCTTTGAATGTCTTGGCAATCTCATCCTCTGCAATGTCTTTGTCCAGGGTCTTGAGAGCCGACTTATACTCCTCCCTGCTGATCCTACCGTCTTTGTTCGTGTCGAATTTATCGAACACGTACCTTACTTCCTCCACTTTTGGTTGGGATGAAGGCCTTGAAAAACTATACCTTTTCGATCTTTCTTTGGAGATATTACTCATTTGGGGAGCTGGTTTGTTTGGAGGCTTTCTTGGAGTGCCATATTGAAACCCGAAAAAGCTGAAATTTGACATTGTTTTTTCTTCAGATGGTATTAAATTATAATGCGATGAATACTGCATGCATGAACCTACCATCTTATATATTGTGTTGGGGTGTTATCCATTGAGGAATAATATAAAGAGAGAGATTCACGTGCATTGTCAAAACAAATTCGGATTCAAAGTTGGAAAAAAGGAGCACATCATGAAGTTGGTCGGTGTATTCTTATTCCACACTCACTTTCCGATTAAGTTCATTGAAGCGAGAAAGAACAGAAGGAATTATATATAATATATGATGCAGGGCAAACCAAGGGTAAATGGAAAAAAAAGGAGGAATAGATAACTTGAGAATCATTCAACCAGGGACAACAAAATTATTATCATCGCTATTAACTCACACGATCAAATTAAACGCTTGATTTAGAAGGAGGAAGCATCACTTTCTTCAATTATACAAAACAAATAAATTTTTTTATAGGAAAAAAATGCATTAAAACGAGAAACCACGAATACAACCACCTTCCATAGTCTAAATTATAAGCTGGACGAACAAATGAAGGAATACACTACTTTGTAATAATCTTGGTGATTCCTATTCCAAACCTCAATTTTGGTATGCCATGACGCCACCAAAGAAAAAGTTGTAGATTCTTGTGTTAGTTGCGTAGAAAATTCCAAAAAATGAGGAAGAAATAAAACACCATATTGGTGTTGCTCGTCTACTATCGATGATTCTCTCAGAAAAGCAAAAAAAAGGAAAATTGACATATTATATGGAATTTATATTAGGGATTTTTGTGAAAGGGGAGAGGGGGCTTGAAAATTGGCACCTCAAAAAAAAAAAGGCACCTATCGTTGTATTAAGAGTTAGCCGGTTATGTAAGATCTTTACTTTAATTTTTTTTTTCTCAAGATATATACTTAATTGAGATATACAAGTAAAATATTAGAGAATTGTTATTAATACTCTAAAAATTTCATTTTGCATTACAAACTTTCTATAATTAGAAAGAAATATTACATTTGTGAAGAGTGCATAATGATGTTATATATATCATATCTATGCAAAAATAATAATAATGATGTTATACATCATATCCATGCTGTGGCGTAGTCATGATTTTTAAATAAGGAAAACTAATGAAAATAGTTTGAAAACTTTGAGTTTTAACGATAAGAACAAAATAAATGGTAAAGTGAATAGTGATTTTTTAGTGTAAAAATGTGGTTTTTCGTTAAAGTGAACAGTACCGCGGGCTTTTCGTTAAAACTCCCTTTTAAATAATCGGATCATAATCAATCAAAAAAGTTTTATTAGGCCATTTCATCAAGCATCTAGTAGGCACCCTCTAATTTCTGTCAACATATGCCGAAGGTTTATGCCACATACATTGACATTTGTAGAGACTTGTCAACGGTGGATGTAGGAAATTGTGCAATAATGTTGAAGACTGCCAAGATATTTCAACTAAAGTATTTTTTACAAGAAGAGAGAAAAGGAAGACAAATATGACAGAAGAAAATAGAAGTAGGAGGAGAAGGTTGTAATTTAGTTTCTTTAGCTGTTTATAACGGTCAAATACAATATACAAATAAATATACATGGGGTTTTTTATGTTGTTGGGGTGAAAGACAAGCCTATGCTGGCTCCGCCACTGTATCAATGTAATAAGAGTAAAATAAAAATTAATTTGAAAATGTGTGGAAGGTAGATACAAATGATGCTCAAATATGTTAGTTCAATTTAAAACGAGAATCAAAAGTAATTAGCAACAAACTAATAGTAATAATAATGATATAAACCCAATAACTTCAAAAACCATTTTATGCATGTACACACAATAGTAATAATAATGACATAAATACATGAATTATGTAGAATGCGTTCTTTTGTCTGTTTATTTCATATTCCTCAATTCGAATGAGCCTCAGTCCTTCAGTTGTCATTAGAATCGGCAATGGGATTTTGATTAGTAGGTTTATTAATAAATTTTAGTTTTATAGTTGATTTCATCATGTATTTAATAGTAATTATACAATATATAGGATAAAAATGACAATTCACATGTTAAATTTAAGTTGGGTGTATAATGAAGTTATATGGATTTAAATAAATTTTCCTTAGAAAAAACGGTAACAAACCAATTAAAACAGTAAATTAAAAAAAAAAAACATTTCCTCTTAACACAATGGCATTATAGAAAAATAATAACAATAATAAATTTGATGTACAATATGAATGCAGCGATAAATATAGTGTCAAATGACTAAAATTAAAATTTATTCTCACACCAGATGTTTATTTATCTAAAGGTTGAAATTATTTAAGGATTAGAATCAAGTTTTTTTTTTTTACCGTTCATTTCCCATGGCGCAACCCTTTCCTCTCTCCCTTTCTCTCTCTTTTTATTTTTCTTTCTTCCCACTCAGCTCCTCTTATAAGCCCGTTCCTCTCTCTCTCTCTCTCTCTCTCTCTCTCTCTCTCTCTTTTAGATCATCCATCTCATCCTCTCTCTTATAAACCCAATCCGCATACCACGATCTGCATAGTGAAGAAGCTCATGCTACTCATGGAGTGCACTCTTCAACTTCCCCGGCTGAGTATGGCGTAGCAGCGCCGGCTGCTGTCTCATGGTGGCACGGCGTGCGTTAAACGTCTTGCACTCGGGTGACGCTGGCGGTGAGATGGAACGTGAATATGGCTTGGAGATTTGGCGAATATTAATGGAGTGTAGAAATCGATGCCAAAGTGTCTCAAGGTCATGGAGATGCTTATATCTTAGCTTGTTTGCGGGTTTGAGAGTGTGAAATGTGAATAAAGATAAGATATCGTGATGTAATATGCTTAAATGGAAGTAAATGGTTGGTTATTTGTAATTGTTGTTTTCAGGTTGGGTAATGGGGAGACTAAATTTAAAAATTAAATTTGCAAACTAAATGATGTGTCATCAATATGAATGAGTGTGTTTATCAATGCTTGTAATAAACTAATCAACTTTCATGTCCTTTAATTTCCAAAATTTAGTTTACACATTTAATTTTCTTAGCATTACCCTTTTAGTTTACTATTGGAATCCATTGTAGATAATTGGAGGTTTTTGGATGGTTAAATTCACAAGCACACAAAGGCTATGTCAAAATTAATCTAATACTTTCTTTAGTTTTGAAAACCGACGTTGTTTCTCTCTACACACACACACATTCTTTATAACAAAGTGACTGCCACCACCAGATTTATGCCACCGTCACCACTGTTGTCGTTGCCACTGCACATACCACCGTTACTAACTTTATTTCAAATCACCATGCCCCACTATCAACACCACCATACCTGAGTAATTGTTGCCGACATCGTCACGACCACCATCGTCACAATTATCTTAGTTGCCACTACCACTACAACTACCAACCTTACATTGCCACTTCCCTTGCCACCATCATCGCCACGATGCTCTATTGCAAATCCACATATCACTACTGCTACCCCTACACCTCTAACCAACACATCCCACTACCATACATGCACCATTAATCGTTGTCGTCACCACCATCACCACCATTATCATCACCGTAGTCACCACCTACCACTGCAACTACTAACCTTACACCATTGTCAGCATTGCCTTTACCATTATTGCTACCAGTACTTCCCCGACTGTCATTCCTACCCCTACACCCCAACCAGCACACTCTACTTTTAGCATCACCACTAACTTTCACCATTGTTGTGGCCATTACCACTGCAATGTTATTTTTACTCACCATCTAAATTTTAACATAAGAAGGTTTTGCGGATATAACACTTTATCCTTGTACAAGTACTCAAATATCTCAATTGATGTGATATGTTGCGTTATCCTTATTATACACAAGAAAAACATTTCAGTTTTATAAATTGCAGAAGAAGAAATATAGACATGTACTTGAAGATGTGGATTAAATGCCTTCAAAATATATATATGCGAAGGAGTTTATCAAAATGGTAAATGGAGGAGTCACAAAGTAAGCTACCATTGTTGTTGTTTTTCCTTGAGGGTATTTTTATTATTTTATCTTTATTTAAGAGAAATTTTCACGGAATAACTAAAATATTGATGATGATAACATTATGGACCACTTTTATCGATTTCAAATCTCAGAGATCGAAGTGAGGAGCTATTACCAATCTTAAAGACATTTTAGCTAAAAACCCAATGCAGGAACACAAAATGTACCGACTCCACAATCTGTTGATAAGAGAGGCGAAAGTGAAAATCAAAATCAGAGAAGTTTATGGGGGTGAAAGTATAAATAATACAAAATAAAGGGGAGCAAACAAGAAGACAGAAAAACCATTCCTTATTTTCCTCTCCTCTGGTGCTTAGCTCATTTTTCGATTTTTTTCTTTCTCTCTTCCCTCCGCTTCTTTTTCTGTTTCCGGTGACAGTAGGGCTTCTTCTATCTTACGCTTTCGCACTCGTGTTTTCTCCGTGGCGCACGTTAACCCCGCCGTTCTCTATCTTGCGCTCCCGGAGGTAAGCTCCTTATCCTACTCCCCCTTCCTCTTTCCTTTTGATCTCCTTAAATTCCGTCACTGCGAAACCCTAATCGAACAATAATCGCACTTGAATTTGGTGTTGTTTACAAGCATTACGAGTTAATTAGGTTAATTAATAGAGCAATTATGTGATGATTGACGTTTTGATTGGGCAGGGTTAGGGAGTGGCTCTAGGGTTTGGTTTTCTGATTAATTGATCCTTTTCTGTGAGATCCGCGGAGGGGGAGCAATCTCTGATTTTCGATATTTGGGCGGGCGGGAGAAGAAAGCTAGGGTTAGGGTTTTTGATGCGTTGGCCGAAATCAGAGCCCGCTAATTTGATCGTAGTGGGGGTCGGACGCCTGAGATGGCTAATCCCGGAGTCGGTGCCAAGTTTGTGTCTGTGAATCTGAACAAATCCTATGGGCAGCCTTCTCACCATCATCACCATCCACCGCATCATAGTGTTTACGGGACGAACAGGGGGAGGCCCGGTAGTCATGGCAGCGGAGGAATGGTGGTCCTTTCCAGGCCTCGCAGTGCGAACAAAGCTGCTGGGTCGAAGCTTTCTGTTCCACCCCCCTTGAATCTGCCTTCGTTGCGCAAAGAGCATGAGAGATTTGATTCGTTGGGCTCAGGTGGTGGTCCTGCAGGCGGAGGGGCTGCAGGTAGTGGGGCGAGGCCTACTTCGTCTGGTGTGGGGTGGACGAAGCCTACTGCCGTTGCATTGCAAGAGAAAGAAGGGGGTGGGGATCATGGAGGAGCTGATGATGCAAATGACCAGACTTTGCATGGTGTTGATGGGGTGAGTAGGGGGAACAGTGTGGGGAGCAGTGTATATATGCCACCTTCAGCTCGGCCTGGCGCGGTGGGATCTCTCCCTACTCCTGCATATCAATTGGCTGAGAAAGCATTGCTCTTGAGGGGGGAGGATTTCCCTTCTTTGCAGGCTGCTTTACCTTCTTCGTCAGGGCCTTCACAAAAGTCGAAGGACGGTTTGAATCAGAAACAGAGGCAAGCTGTCCGTGATGAATTGTTAAATAAGCAGAGGGATAGTAGTCATTCTAGTTCGCTTGTTGACATGCGGCCTCAATTGCAGATTTCTCGTCATGGTGGACAGAATGAGAATGGCAGTGAAAGTAAGGGTTTGGGTGGTGATCGAGCATCAGAGCAAGTAAAGAAGCAGGATGAGTATTTTCCAGGTCCATTGCCACTAGTACGGTTGAACCCAAGATCAGATTGGGCGGATGATGAGCGTGATACAAGTCATGGTTTTACAGATCGGGGCAGAGATCACGGGTACTCAAAAACTGAAGCTTATTGGGATAGAGATTTTGATATGCCCAGAATAAGTGTTCTACCACACAAGCCAGTTCATAACCCTACGGAGAGGTGGGGTCTGCGTGACAGTGAAGCTGGAAAGGTTTCTTCCAGTGAAGTCCCTAAGGTGGACCCATACAGCAGAGATGTAAGAACACCTAGTAGAGAAGGAAGGGAAGGGAACTCATGGAGAAATACCACATTTCCGAAAGATGGAAATAGTGGTCAAGTTGGAAATGACAGGAGTGGTTTCGGTGTAAGGCCATCGAGTTTAAACAGAGAAACAAGCAAGGATAATAAGTATAGTCTGACATCTGTTCAAGAAAATGCCCATGATGATTTTGTAAGGAGGGATGGGTATAGACAAGGAGGGAGACAGCCTTGGAACAATTATACAGACTCATATACAAGCAGAGGGCCTGAATGGAATAAACGTGACCAGTATGGCAGTGAACAACAAAATAGATACAGGGGTGATGCTTTACAGAGTAGCTCAGCATCCAAACCCTCATACTCTGTAGGTGGTAAAGGGCTTCCTGTCAATGATCCACTGCTCAATTTTGGTAGGGAGAAGCGCCCATTCACGAAGAGTGAAAAACCTTATGTAGATGATCCTTTCATGAAAGACTTTGGAGGTACTGGTTTTGACAGCCGGGATCCCTTCTCTGCCAGCCTTTTTGGAGTGGTTAAGAAGAAGAAAGATGTGATTAAACAAACTGATTTTCATGACCCTGTTAGGGAATCTTTTGAGGCTGAACTTGAGAGAGTTCAGAAAATGCAAGAACAGGAGCGACAGCAGATCATCGAGGAACAAGAAAGAGCTGTGGAGCTAGCTCGAAGAGAAGAAGAGGAGAGAACACGGATGGCTAGGGAGCAAGAAGAAAGGCAGAGAAGGATGGAAGAAGAAGCTAGGGAATCAGCAGTGGAGAGCAGAACAAGAACAACTTGATGCCATGCGAAGAGCTGAAGAGCAGAGGCTAGCCAGGGAAGAGGAGAAACGGAGGTTGTTTTTGGAGGAAGAAAGGAGGAAGCATGCTGCTAAGCAGAAGCTTTTAGAATTGGAGGAAAGGATTGCCAAGAGGAAGGCTGAAACAGGAAAGACTGGTGGTAATTCTTTGGCTGATGCAGATGCGAAAATGTCTAGGATGGAGAAAGAAAAAGATGCCTCCAGGGCAGCAGACATGGGTGACTGGGAGGATGGTGAAAGAATGGTGGAGAGGATCACAGCCTCTGCATCTTCTGATTCAAGTTTGAACAGGTCCTTTGAGATGGGTTCTAGGTCTCATTATTCTAGAGATAGTTCTCCTTTTGTAGACGGGGGAAAACCCGTTAATTCATGGAGAAGAGATGTGTATGAGAATGGGAACAACTCAAGTTTACTTCTACATGACCTGGATAATGGCCGTCATAGTCCCAGGCGAGATTCATCTGTTGGTGGGAGAGCTCCTTTAAGGGAAGAGTTCTATGGAGGTAGTGGATTCATGACTTCTAGCACTTACCACAAGGGGGGGATTTCTGAACCTCACATGGATGATATCACTCATTTAAGGGGGCAGAGGTGGAACCTTTCTGGCGATGGGGATCATTATAGCAGAAACATGGAGATTGAGTCTGAATTCCATGATAACCTTGTTGAAAAGTTTAGTGATGCTGGATGGGGGCAGGGACGTGTCCATGGCAATCCTTATTCTCCTTACCCTGAACAATCGTATCCAAATTCTGATGCAGATGGGCCTTATTCCTTTAATAGGTCACGGTATTCCATGAGGCAGCCTCGTGTTCTTCCACCGCCATCACTGGCTTCCATGCACAAAACCTCCTATATGGGTGAAATTAACCGTCCTGGCCCCTCAGCTTTTCTAGACAATGAGATCCAGTACAATCATGCAGCTAGAAGTGAACCTACTGTGCAGACAGGGTATGATACTAATCGTCCTGAGAATATTGGACAACCTCAAATAATTAATGTCAAACAAGAAAACACGGGGAGTGAGAAGCAGAAACTGGACAGTAACACCACCCCAAGGTGTGACTCGCAATCATCTCTTTCTGTGTCTAGCCCCCCTAGTTCTCCAACTCATCTTTCTCATGATGACTTGGATGAGTCTAGAGATTCTTCAGTGTTATCTGCTCCAGGAGACTGCGAACAGGTTCCCTTGTCTGGGCAAGAGAATGAACCTCTTGTATTACCTACCAATCCTGGACAAGAGAATGTGATGAATGCTTCTAATTCTATCTATGATGAAGAATGGGCTGTTGAGAACAACGGGCATCTTCAGGAGCAAGAAGAATATGATGAAGATGAAGATGGATATGAGGAGGAAGATGAAGTGCATGAAGTAGATGATGAAAATATTGATCTAACCCAGGAGTTCGATGATGTGCATTTAGAGGAGAAAGGATCCCCTGACATGGACAATTTGGTCCTAGGCTTCAATGAAGGTGTTGAAGTTGGAATGCCAAATGATGAGTTTGAGAGAAGTTCAAGGAATGAAGAAGGTGCACTTGTGGTGCCTAAGGTTTCATCTGGAACTGTTGAAGGACAGGGGCCATTTGATGGAATTTGTACTGATGAACCGACCCTTCAACCTATGGATGGGTCCTCCCAAGTGAATGTGGGTAGTTCTTCCAGAATGTTCCAAGAAACTGAGAAGGCAATGCAGAATTTAGTTATTCAGCCTAGTAATGTCTCTCATATGTCAGCTGCAACTGAACACGTGGAACATGTGGATGCTTCTAGTAGTTCTGGTCCATCTTCTCAGCATCCAGTTACATCTTCAGTTAGCTTTACCTCCCATTTGTTGTCCAGTCAGGCTGTCATGCCTACAGTATCTTCTGTTCCGAATCAGACAGAGGGACCTGTGAAGCTTCAGTTTGGGCTGTTTTCTGGTCCATCTCTGATACCATCTCCAGTCCCAGCTATACAAATTGGTTCTATACAGATGCCTCTTCCTCTGCATCCTCAGGTTGGTCCGTCTCTCGCTCACTTGCACCCGTCACAGCCGCTCTTCCAGTTTGGTCAGCTAAGGTATACCTCTCCTATCTCCCAGGGAGTACTGCCTACGGGTCCTCAGTCAATGTCTTTTGTTCAGCCCAATCTTCCGATCGGGTTTTCTTTGAATCAGAGCCCAGGAGGTCCTCTGCCTATTCAAACTGGTCAAGGAATTTCTCAAAATATGAAAAATGATGCTATGTTGAGTTTGGTGAATAATCAACCTGGAGTAACTTCAAGGCACTTGGATGCATCACAAGATAATGTATCAGAAAAGATAAATTCAATGCCCGCCGGAGAAACTGCTGAAACCTCTGTCATGGTGCAGCGGGGACCTGCTGTAACCCATGTTGGTGATAGCAGCTCAAGGTCTGAGTCCGTTTTTCAGGCGGAAGACCATAGACACAATAACTCGGTTGCGAAAAACTTTGGTGGTTTTTTTGGTACTCGGGAATCTCAAGGTCAGGCTCAAACTGGAGCAGCGCCATCTCAATCAGTTATTAAAGACAAAGATTTTAGTGGGCCAAGGAATCATGGCCCAACATCTGGTGGCAGAGGAAGAAAGTATGTCGTTACAGTTAAAAATTCTGGCTCACGATCATTTCCAGTTGCTGAGCCTTCTCATTTAGAATCTAGTGGGTTTCACAGGAGACCTCGACGCAATATGCAGCGAACTGAGTTTCGAGTTCGAGTAAGTGCTGATAAGAGGCAATCTACAGGGTCTGTATCTTCCAACCATGTTGGACTGGACGAGAAATACGTCTCTGGAAGGGGTTTTGGGCCTTCTGTAAGAAGTGGGCCTAGGAGAATTGTCTTGTCAAATAAACCATCACAACTGATGTTAGATTCAGAGGGTGTGAGCCCAGGTCCACGTAATTCACAAGAAATAGATTCTGGGAGCAAGGCTGAAAAGAGAGCTGGAAAAGATGCTTCGACAAAGAGTCAGAATGTCCCGCAATCTGGAGAGGGAAATCTTAAAAGAAATATTCATTCTGAAGAGATGTTTATGCTCCTCTGCAAAGTGGTTTTGTGCGTGTCTTTGAGCAACCTGGCATAGAGGCTCCTAGTGATGAAGACGATTTCATTGAAGTGAGGTCAAAGAGGCAAATGCTGAATGATCGGCGGGAACAGAGAGAAAAGGAAATCAAGGCAAAGTCTCGGGCTTCAAAGGTTGGAATGCTTGTAGTTTCATTTTGTATTTTGCCTTGCATTGCTTTAAATAGTATTGCTTAATTGCTTTTATGTACTCATGTTAGCAGGTTCCACGAAAACCTCGCTCTACTTCAAAAAGTAGTACTGCCTCTGCCAGCTCAGGTAAAAATTGTGCACTGGCAAATGGAGAAGCAGGAAACTGCAGTCACTCTGATTTCGTTGCCTCAGAGGGACGTGGATTGAATATGGAAGTATCAGCTGGTTTTAACACTAATGTGGTGTCTCAACCGTTGGCTCCAATTGGCACTCCTGCTGTTAAAAGTGATCCCCAAGCTGATATTAGATCCCACACAATTGGGTATTTGCTCGTTTTGAAAAACCATTTAAAGCCAGTAACTTAATACATAGATTCCTAATCATCGTTTTATCAACAGGTCACTGAACACAAGCTCCCTTCCTGTAGTATCAGGTAGTCCGAAAAATCTTGGGTGCGGCTCAATTGTTGACAACAAGAGTAAGGTCCTGGATAATGTTCAAGCATCTTTGGGCTCATGGGGTAATTCACGGATCAATCAACAGGTGTGCAAACCAATTATGTTGTAGATCTTGGCCTTTTGTTTTATCATAGGTGTTTCATTTTGGTTCTGAATAGATTTGGTAAGGTTACTGTTTTATTCTTTCATTGTTTCTTCACCAGTGTTGTTTTCATGACTCATATTGGGTGCTGTTATTTTCACCCAAGCATTTTTTTTTTTTGTTCTGGTTATGAAACAAAATTTTATTTTTCTTGGTATCAAGGAAAACTCATTTGTGTTCCATTCTTGTACCAATGAGTTGTTCACTGTTCTCGTGCTACTTATGGTTTAATTTACCTCATGTGTGTTCCATTATTGCACCTTTTTTGACACGCAGGCGTATCTATGCTTGATTGTACTGATGAAGCAACATAATATGACATAATTCTTTCTTCCCCCTCCCCCCTTCGTCTGTATACTGCCTAACTGATTGACTTCATGCGGCAGGTTATGTCATTGACACAGACCCAACTTGATGAGGCTATGAAGCCTGGGCAATTTGTGTCTCATGGTTCTGTTGGAGAAATTACTAGCTCAGTTTGTGAATCCAGCATGCCATCTTCATCACTGTTGGCGAAGGAGAACCCATTTTCTTCTGCTGCAAATCCAATCAATTCTCTGCTTGCTGGCGAGAAAATCCAATTTGGTGAGCATGCTAAAAACCTCAAGAGTTTGCTAAAAGTTGCATTTGTCATTTTTTGATGATTTTATTTTCCTATATTCAGGTGCAGTCACGTCTCCAACAATACTTCCTCCTAGCAGCCGCTCTATTTCACATGGACTTGGTCCACCAGGGCCATCTCGGTCAGACATGCAACTCTCCCACAATCTTTCTGCAGCTGAAAATGATTGTGGCCTTCTCTTTGAGAAAGAGAAACACACTGCCGAGTCTTGTGTTTATTTGGAAGATTGCGAATCAGAAGCTGAAGCAGCTGCTTCAGCTGTTGCTGTTGCAGCCATCAGCAGTGATGAAATTGCTGGGAATGGTTCGGTTGCTTGCTCTGGTTCGGTTGCAGATACCAAGACTTTTGGATCTGCTGATATTGATGGGATAACAGCAGGTGAATACTTTTGTGTTTTCTGGTGTAGTGGCAAACTTTCCTATTCTCCTATAATGTTTATTATCTTATTAGAATGATTTTTAATCTCTGGTAGCTGGAGCCGGTGATAAGAAATTAGCCAGTCAATCAAGGACTAAACAGTCTCCAAGTGTTTCCCTTCCAGCAGATCTATCTGTGGAGACCCCAGCAATCTCATTAATGCCACATTTACCAGGTCAGAATAATTTCTTTATAACCAATTTTGTTTTGGCCGCCCTTCCCAATAATGTTCAAGGTGCTGATATAGACGGGATAACAGCAGGTGTGAATGGATTTTTTGTTTTAGCAGTGAGTGTTACCTTTTCTTTTGATGATTCTTCTAATATTAGAATTTTTAATCTTTCGCAGGTGGAGCTGATGATCAACAATTTGCCAGTCAATCAAGGGCTGAAGAGGCCCTTAGTGTTTCACTACCAGCAGATCTATCTGTTGAGACCCCGCCAATTTCGTTGTGGCCACCCTTACCAAGACCTCTGAATTCTTCAGGCCAAATGCTTCCACATTTTCCTGCTGGCCCGCCTTCCCATTTTCCCTTTTATGAGATGAATCCCATGATGGGGGGTCCTGTTTTTGCTTTTGGACCGCATGACGAATCTGCATCTACCACCCAAGCACAATCCCAGAAGACTAGTGCGCCAGTTTCAGCACCACTTGGGACGTGGCAGCAATGCCATTCCGGAGTAGATTCATTCTATGGCCCTCCTGCAGGTTTTACCGGGTCCCTTTATCGGTCCAGCTGGAGGTATACCAGGTGTTCAAGGCCCTCCACACATGGTTGTTTATAACCATTTTGCACCTGTTGGACAATTTGGACAAGTTGGCTTGAGTTTCATGGGTACTGCCTATATCCCATCAGGAAAGCAGCCTGATTGGAAGCACAACCCTGCATCTTCCACCATGGGTGTTGGCGAGGGGGAGATGAACAATATAAATATGGTTTCTGCACAGCGCAACCCTACCAATATGCCTGCTCCGATCCAGCATTTGGCCCCTGGGTCACCGCTCCTTCCCATGGCTTCACCTCTGGCCATGTTCGATGTTTCTCCTTTCCAGGTAATATTTCAGCCTGTTGACCTAATATATCCCCTTCCGCTTAGTAGTTTTAGGTTTTGCAACATAGTGCGCTTTGGGGAATAGTTCTCTCTAAAGAGAGTCGGAAGTGGAATGCTTTGAGTAGTAGATTTGGTTCCTTTCAGAATTTGTTATGGATACATGAATCTATGGCGGGTGCAGGATGATAAATATGTTAAATTTTTAATGTATTTCTATTTGGTGGCGAACAGTTACCATACTCTTTTTTTCTGGAATAACAACTAACAAGTTTGTAAAAATTGTTGTCCCCAGCCTTCTCCTGATATGTCAGCTCAAGCACGGTGGCCCCATGTTCCTGCATCATCTCTTCAGTCTGTTCCTCTATCGATGCCCATGCAGCAACAGACAGATGGTATACTTCCTTCTAAATTTAGCCATGGTCCTTCTGACCAATCGCTGCCGGCCAACAGGTTCCCTGAGTCCCGGACTTCTACATCCATTGATGGCAGTCGTAATTTTCCTGTGGTGACTGAAGCCACTTCCACGCGATTTCCAGATGAACTGGGTTTAGTAGACCCTACAAGCTCCGGCAGCACTGGGGCTTCAACACAGAATGTTGTCACTAAGAGCTCATCTGTGAGTAGCACAGTAGATAATGCCAAGACTGATGTTGATCAGAATCTCGGTACGAGTGCTAGTGGACATAACGCTAGTAACGCCAAGTCTCAGTCTTCTATGCACAAGAGTAATATCCCAAACCAGCACTATGGCCATTCGTCTTACCATCAGAGAGGTAATGCTTCGCTGAAAAATAGCTCTGGGGGCGAATGGTCCCACCGACGAATGGGTTACCAAGGAAGAAATCAGTCTCTGGGTGCAGAGAAAAACTTTCCAGGTACTAAGATGAAGCAAATATACGTGGCTAAACAGACCTCAAGTGGGAGTTCAACAGCGTCATGAGGAGCCACATAAAACGAGCTGCCGCCTGTTGGGTTCGAGAAAAAGAGTGCACGTTGAAACAGTTGTTCAGGAATAAAAGATTTTGGGTTGCTTTTTTTGCAGCATCTATTGCACCGGCAGGTGCAGCGTCTAGAATTGAGATTGAGATTTTGTTGAGAGATATATAGGTGATAGGGTATGCTGGTTTTGCCGACGAAGGTTTGCAGAAACGGGCAGCAGGTGATATGATAGGAAACTATGGGCCTGCCTGGTGCTCCACTAGGGAGAAAAAGGGGATGGTGTTGACGAGGGAACTTTGTGATATTTTTCAGTTGTGGTCCGTTGATCGGGTTTCGATGTCTGAAATCTTTGTTGGCTGCATACCGAACTGTCAATTTATTGGAGAATTTGATGTACTAAAAAACAAACACCGTCGTAATCCAGGTAACATTCTTTTTGCAATTTCTGGTAAATGGTCAATGTGGCCGTCGGGGGATGCTTGTTTCCCCTTCTTTTTGACTTCACTTGATCTGTATTTGTATGTAATTTAAGTTGTGATAAACGATTCCTGCTTCTGCGGTTGAGTTTGAAGTAGGCGTTCGTTATATTTTCGCACTTAGGGATGAGTTTAACGTGAAAAACAACAATGGAGAAGTGTTGTTTAAACGGTGATTGTCACACACGGACTTAATTATCACGTGATGAGCGTTGTAGAATAATGCTGGAGTGTGGAAGGGTATGATTTCGGTTACAATCAAGTTCTTGTCTTTGGTTCAAACTTGTGACCACATTGCTAGTGGTTCAGTACGAGGAATGCCGTACAGTAACATATTGCCGTACCATTCCAACTTTGACCATTAGGTTGACTCTCATTTTTTTATTGAAAATTGAAATGCATCAAAATTTCGAAGTGTGACAGAAAAAAAAAAGGTTCAAAATTTCAAGTGGTTTTGATACCAAAAATGTGAGTGATTTTTCCTTGTGCTTCGTACATGGTATAATACGTCAAGTGTAATAATATAATTAGTTAGAAATTTGAAAATAAAATTTCTAACCAATTATATTAAGACACTGTGATGTAATAGGTTATGTTCCCAACACACTAAAAAAACTTGTCCAAAACTGTCGCGCAAAGCAAAAAGGGCACAAACACTAGTTTGTGGGCAGCCAATAGGTCATCAGCTTCACCATCTTGGAGGAAGTCCTTGTCCCACAACAAGAACTGATCATCCTCTTCATGACCAACGCTGCTTTCTGCCGTCGCCCCGCCGCCGCCAATTCCATATTCTCTGGTTGAGTCGCCAGGTTGACTTTGACCTGATCAAGCCTCCTCCTCCTCCTCCATGACGTCCATTTTGTTAATTTTTTTTTGCTTTTTGCTTATTAGCGAATCCTGGATTAGTACCGGCATTAGCACCAGTTCCACTACTAGAACTGTTGTTACTCGTGACAATGTTGACGTCCTGGTTCAATGGGAAATTCAGCTTTGCCCTATTCCCGCGGAACTCGACGGCGGCCTTGTCGTAAGCCCTGGCCGCTTCCTCCGCCGTCTCGAACGTCCCGAGCCACACCCTCGCCGCCCGCAGTGGGTCGCGAATCTCCGCCGCCCATTTCCCCCACGGCCTCTGCCTCACGCCCCTGTACTTGTTCTTGCTCTTCCTCGTAGTCGCCCCATTCATCCCGACAAACCCGGTTCCTAAACTCAGCTGCGGCTTCTTGTTTCGGTTCGGCAACGTTGGCGGGAAGTAGTTGCACCCGAGACACCCGGGTATCCCGCACAGGCGACACGTGTCCCCGTCTAGTAAGAAGGCCAGCATGTCCTCCTGTTGTGCCGGTTGGCCCGCTGCCAATTGCGTACACGTGGCATTGTAGACGGCAGTCATTGGCTGCAGGTGCTCAGGGGTAGGCCGCTGCTGCTTCCACCGGAGATGACGTGCTTGAGGGCGGCGACCATGATGCAGTGCTCCTGCTCCTGCTGTATCCGACTCATACGGGAGGGCATTTTGGTCCAATCAGTCTTCGCTCCAGGGATAGTTTCGTAAAAATACACCGAAAATCAAGAGAAGTTTTCAGTTCCTTCCGAGCAAACGAGGAAGAGAAAAACCATTGAGCGAAGAACGTGGAGGACAACGGGGAGAGAGAGACGGTCTTATAGGCGGATCGAAGTGAGAGGAGAGAGAGTGTCGGGATCCACGTGTCGGTCACCCGTGCTCACGGAGGGTTTTCACCATTCCGATAGGGAGGTGGGTGCCCACCGGTTGTCCAGCTCGAGTTTACAGTGCCACGTAAGTACGTTGGCGTGGCGCCACGAGAGGTTGACAGCGCAGCTTTTCTCCCACGCGCTTCCGCTTGGGTTCAGTGAGAGCTTGCCACGTAGCCTGAAAGGATATAAAATTAGTTTTTGGAGTTTTCGAAGATACGTTCGTCAAAACAGAAGAGAAAAACTTCGAAGAGAAACCTTTGGCTAATATGAAATGAAGGCTGTCAGCGTGGTACTCAACAATAAATTTTTCAATGTAATCAGTACGGAATAGTATACCATGTGTTATTATAGAAATAGTATAATATATATATTAAAAGATTAATAACTTAAAAAATAAAATTTCTCATTATTTCTATAAAAACACATGATGTACCACTTGTGTTTTGATAACAATGAAAAATTTATCGTACTCAATGTTCCGTTATTGCATGAATACGTAAATGCATTAGGCAAAGACCGTGCCAACGTCTGATGATCTTAATTTATTGAAAATGAAGCACTATTAGATCTCGAGTTTCTTTCTCATAGTTCGTTGCTGTGTGCACAAACTACAAATAACACAAAAATTATCGCCTCAACTTTGAATAATAGCTGCTTCTCAAACCCGAGAGCTAAAATACGAGGCTGCATTATGTTGTAATTAGGCTGCATGGGGAAGTAGATTATTCTGTCATTAATGAATGGTGGGATAGCTCACGTATTTTTTTTTTTTTAAAAAGAAAAAAAAAAATTTGCCTCTCAAAGATGAGTTTTGAGCCATAGGCCATATAGTTTACAAAGAATCTCTTCAGCGTGAGAGAACGACAATAACTATATAGACTTATCTCGTTAAAGAGAAAGAACGACCACAACTAGAGGGTGAGGTAGACAAAAGTAATGTTTTCTAACAATTGGACTTGTAAAGTAGACAGGAGTTCAATCTTTATGTTGTACAAACGCAAGACACTCTAAACACTTGTTTGGTATGTAACGTTTAAATTGAAATGAAAAACTCTCGAATTTTAAGGTATATTGAGAGTGAAAGCAGATAATTTTTCATTTGGGTAAGATGCTTTCTTTTTGCATTCCTTGTTTTAGTACTACTAAGCGAACACATCAATACACTTCCTTATCATTGAATCCATTTCCCATGACAAGACTAAATCCAGGTACTTTTCTCAGTTGTCTTTCGTCCATCTCAGACCTCACTCTCTCAGCATCTCCCCACCTCCCAGCTGCTGCATACACATTGTAAAGCATCACATGTGATCTCGAGTTTTCCGGGTCCGATTCCGAAAGCATCCTACCAATTCTTTCGCCAAGTTCAACATCCTCATGGATTCTACAGGCCCCCAACAAAGATTCAAGCATACTTGTTGAAGGTTTAAAGGGCAGTGCCCTAACAATGGCATAAGCCTCAGTCAGGTTACCTGTTCTTCCGAGAAGATCCACCATGCAGGCATAATGCTCGATTTCGGGTGATATCCCATGTTCCGCCATAGAGTTGAATACCAACCGGCCTTGCTCGACCAAGCCGCAATGGCTGCAGGCTGATAGAATACTTGAATATGTAATCCCATTGGGTTTTACTCCTGAAAGCTTCATCTGCAAGAAAAGATCTAGGGCACCTTCACCGTCCCCGTGCAGACCGTATCCATTAATCATCACATTCCAAGACACGGAATCCTTTTCAACCAGCCCTTCAAACAGCTTCCTTGCACTCAATATGTTTCCGCATCTTGCAAGCATATTGATTAGGGCATTACTGATAACCAGATCTTTGTCAAAGCCTTTTCGTATTATGTACGCCGTTACACAATCTGCTAGATTGAGGCTATTGAGTTGAACACAAGCAGAAACTAAACTCAGAACTGTCACATTGTCGGGTTCCAATCCCATCCGAAGCAATCCGCGGAAAAATGAAACTGCAATTTCGCTATTTTTAGTTTGTATCTGCACAGACAAAATTGCATTCCACAACGAAATATCCTTCATGTTTCCCGTTTGGAACTGTAACAGGCAAGAGTTAATGTTCTCAAATCTAGCATACATGAACATAAGTGATGTAAGGAGAGGGGTTTCTTGTACAATTCCGGTTCTGAAGGCGACAGCATGGATAGACTTACCCTGTAATTGTGTGCGGCATGCTGGCAATAAATTTAGCAAAGTTACATAATTTGGTCTCTCATCATCCTTTATCATTTCACCAAACAAGACCCAAACCTCATTCTGTAAATTGTGGTTTCGGAAGCCAGTCATCAGAGCATTCCAAGACACCACACTCCTCGTTGGCATGACTTTGAAAAGTAACCTCCCGGCATCAAGGTCTCCACAGTTGCAGTACATGCTAATAAGTGAATTTGCCAGAGAGATGTCGGCAGAGAACCCGTATTTTATAGTGTAACAATGAATAGCCATTCCTTGCCCTAAGCTTTTCTTCTCACTGAGACTAGGGAGTATGCTTATCAGGGTGACTAAGTCCAACTGGAAGCCCTCTTTCTGCATCTGGTAGTAAAAGGCAACCGCCTTTTCCATCTCGCAGTGGTGCACACAACAGGATATTAACGTGTTCCATGTTATGGAATTTTTTGTAGGCATTTCACGCAACAAAGTAATTGAATAGGAGAGGCGATGACAATCAGAGTAAAATGCCAACAGGGCATTTGACAGATTGAGATTTGAGAGGAAACCCTTCCTAATACTAAATGCATGCACAGACTTCCCCACTAAATCCGCCTCAAGTTTGGAGCACGCAGAAAGAACACTAACGATGGAGACTGCATCTGGAACAGACCCTGAAAATTGCATTTCACGAAATACACCGAGACTTAAATTCCATAGCCCGTTGTACATGTACCCAGAAATCATTGAGTTCCACAAAAGAAGGTTTTTACTGGGCATTGGCTCGAAAAGATACCGGGATGAATCAGTGTCTCCAAGCTTGGCATACATTGATACAAGGGCTGTTAGGACTGGCAATTGATTTTCTGATCCATGTTTAATAACACAAGCATGAAGGGACTCGCCGAAAGAAAGGCTACTGGAATTCTCACATGAGGGAATAACGGACACGAAGGTGACGAAATTAGGCTGCAAGTCAACCCGAAGCATACATCGGAACATCTCAAAAGCTGAGATGGCCTTCTGCATTTGTGTGTATGCAGAAATCATAGCATTCCAAACAATAACATTCTTTTCCGGTACAGAATCAAACAAGTTTCTAGCACCGCACAAATCCCCATCCCCGGCATGCATTGAAATCAAAGCAGGAACCAAAAAATTATTCGACAAGTAACCAGATTTGATAGCAAAGCAATGTAGGGACTTACCGGTATGCATACACCCCAAGCGAGTGCAAACAGGAATAACAGTGGCCAGAGTGCTCAAATTCGGCTTCAAATCCATAACGAGAATCTCGTCAAAAACATCAAACGCTTCCCAATTCAATCCGTTCGACAAATAACCAGGAATGAGTGCATTCCAGGCAACCAAGTCTGGTTGAGGAATTCTATCAATCAGTTGACGTGCCATCCCATACAACCGGTTTTCGCATAGAAATCAACCAATGCAGTCTGTATAACAAGGTTTTGCTCAAACCCAGTTCTTATCACAACTCCATGAACCTCTTTCCCAGTCCTAATCGCAGCCAGCGCCGCGCACGCCTTGATGACGAATGGAAACGTAAAGTCATCAGAAGGGCAACCGGAAGCCCCGGAATGGAGGTAGACATGCAAGAGCTCATGGTATAAGCCTGTGATTGCTAAGGTACCGGATTACGAGGTTCTGCAGGCCAAGACTTGGCCATTGGATTTGTTGGAATAGAGAGAGAGCTAAATGTGAAGAACCCAGATGAAAACAGGACCTGACGAATTCCTCCACCAGAAAAACATCCTTAACAAGTCCTTGTACGATGAGAAGGGAGGTGAGAGGCCTCGAGTCCTCGCAGGTTTTGCAGAGGTTTAGCAGACGGAGGAAGCGGGGTGTTCTCGAATTGATTGAAGAATGTTTGTGTCTGACAAGAGAGAGAATCAACGGGGAAGAAGACAGAGTATTGGAGTGTCGGAGGAAGAAACTCATTACTCCATTAAAGTTCTGAGATTGGAGCCAAAGCTAGCCGTTGAGGTTTATATTTGATCATCTGGGTTACCCTACTTTAATATATTGAGAAAAGTATTCGAACTCGAATGCAAGAAGACATGTACATGAGATGCCTTCTCTCGCTCAATTGGCTCAACCCACATATGCAAAGGCATGTCTTTGTTTGAACCGACTAAAGTTTTTATTCTGATCACAGAAACGAGATATAACATGAGCCCCAGAACAATTCGACAATTTTCAAATGGAATGTAAAGGTTAGAAACTGTTATTCACGCTCCAAAAATGTCATGCAACACTGTTCTCTTCCTTGTTAAATTTGAAACTCGAGGTTAGCGCAAGTGGCGAGTAAGAAAGGGGATATGAGTTACGATTACGGTGAGGTCAAAACTTCGACCCCTTCCATCGTAACCAAAATAATAGTAGTAATACCATCAATCATCATTGCATTTTTCGTGAGCAAATATTCAACATTTTACAGACGTACCACCACCACACCACAATACTAGGCATAGTTATGTCCAAGATTTCTACAAAACAATGTCAAAGCGAAACGAAGGCTTTTGTTTAAAGTTAAAAATACATCACAAAATAATTGTGCACGGGATCAGGATCTCGAAATCACGCAGATGGCTAAAACCTTTCGAGTTCTAATAACCGTATGCTGTTCTCTTCATCATCCTGATAAACTCATCAGCGTTAACTTCTCCATCACCTGTATATTTCAAGTCATAACTTCTGGGATTAGCGAAATTATGCTCAATGATTTCAAAGCACGTAGAAGTAAAAGTTGAGGGCATCAAAATAAGGACGGATTATATATTTAAGCACGTACGATCTCGGTCTGCTTCCTCAATCATCTCCTGGATCTCTCTGTCAGTGAAGTTCTCACCCAGATCCTTTGCAATGTTCTTAATGTCATGCTGCAGATATCTTTCCCTGAATTCAAATGCCGAAAGAATGGAATTAGGTATTGATAGATTGAAACAACACAAGTATGTGAAGTTGAACCACTCTAAACTGAAACAAATTTAACGTTTAATAAGCAAAACAATACATTGCGATCTAGGTCGATGAGCTGGAATGCTTTCATGAGTTCCTCCTTTGTGTCTCGTTCTCCAATTTTGGCTGTCATCATATGAGCAAACTCATCAAAGTCGATAGCACCACTGCCATCCTTGTCAACATCTGCAATCATTTGATTAATTTGCTGCAGAGAAACAACATGTTCATTCACCGCACCAAACATAGAATACCAAGTAGAAAGAGAACTACTATGATTCTCAAGAAATCTAAAAAATGAGTTTGTTCACTAGTGAGGTTCCAGAGAACACAAGAAACATGAAAAAGAAAACAAGTACGGCGTAGAAATCAACAAAGAATAGAAGACCAGTAACTAGAGAATAACCCCCCCAACCTCCCCCAAGGATTTTAGAGTAAGGAAACCAACGGCTCATCTAATTTTCCTCTCGGAAAATATTACTCAGCCTCACTACCAGGTTTTATGTGGACCCAAGAAGAGCGAATTTAGAGATAAAGCATAAACAATATAGTTTTTGGAAAAGGGGTGTGATATCCACACACCCTATTTTGCTTCTCACACACCTTTTTAATTTTCGGACGTTGGATCGGATGAATTGAAGAAGATCAACGGACAGAAATTACCAAGGGGCATGTGAGAAGTAAAATAGGGTGTGTGGATAGCACATCCCCTTGGAAAACTGTACTCATATGCATTACAGTATCATAGGTAAGGTTCTCTCACTCTTCATCACACTCAAAAAGGGACCCTAAAAACACGAGGTTAACAAGTGAATGTACATAGGCGGATAAGTTACGTTACCTCTTCGGTCATCTCAAAACCGAGAGCCCTGTCACCGATAAAAAACACATTTTCAGCTGTAGGCATTTACATGACAGGCTAATCACAAAGCACAAGTTAAGAACTCATACCTCATGGCAACATTCAGCTCCTTGGCATCAATAGTGCCTAAACAATACAACATGGTCAAAATAAAAGAACTACGAATTTAATCAAACATTCTTATACAGACAATATAAGCCAACAACATCAAACCCTTCAAAAAAAATCTTAATCAAATTACTAAATTTGCAGTACCCGAGCCATCGGTGTCGAATAACTCGAATGCCTCCTTAATCTCTTGCCTCTTTTGTTGAGTTAACCCATGATGTCGCCCTCTGGGTTTCTCCTTCCTAGATGCCCCTCTGTAAAGGCTTGCCTATCAACCCATTACCAATTTCAAAAAAAAACCAAGTCCATCAAAACCCTACCCAGCATCCAAGATTCATCAAATTCAAAAACCCAGATACATATTTTTAAACTCCATCAATCGATCAAATTAAATCGTTAAAAGTATGCAGTTTTCCCAAATAAGATTAACCAAACAATGAGCTAAAGATGTTGAAAGATTGAAAATTTGAGCTGGAAATTGCATTGAGGAGCATACCATTGAGCGACGCGTGAAGTATGAAGGTTGAAGAAAGTGTCCTTCTCTGGAGGAATTTGATCTTTCTTCGCCCGGAAGCTCTGAGAAGGCCTTTGTTTGCAATGCAAATCAAATTTGGGAAGGAATTTGATGGTTTTTTGGGTGTTTTGATACTCTGACTAATTGGGCCAGAAATTTTATTTTTTACGCGCCTAATTGTAGCTGGGCCAGGTTTCAGTAGTCCAGTTTTAATCGGCTTAATATCATTCTTACTTTTACGTTAATTTGTGTCCAACTTCGAATTTTCATCTTATAATATAAATTAAATTAATAAAAATATGATGGTTATAGAAAATTTTAAAGTTCTTAATCTCAAAATAAACAAAAAGTAATCTCAACATTGATGCAAAATTTGTTTTTAAATAACAAAAAGCAATACTAAATACCCCTTAATCTAAGTAAAGAATCAAAATCCAAATATATAAAAACCTCTTAAGACAAACTACAAGTAATTTGTTTGACAGAGATCAATGAATTTTGTCTAAAATGCTTTAAGAACTACTTTTAATTTGTGCTTCTTGCGAAAAGATTGTCACATAAATTACAAGATTAAAACTTCTCCTCATCTTCTCTGTATAGTATGTCTCCAAAGGGACCTAAACTTTACCTTAATGAAACTTTTCTATTTGTTTATAACAAGGTTAAAAAACGCTTCATATATAATACAAAAGCAGTGCAACCCCAAACAAACTATAGATGCTAACAAATTTAATTTTCAAAAGAATTACTAGTCCATCATGCACGAATTCAGGATTTGAAAAAAGATGACCACATTTGCCAAATTGTTCAAATTCATAGCCCCTAAAATGGAAGAAGACATTAGTATCTATGTAAGATCTCATGTATTGGGCTTTTCCTCGCAGTCAAAATGATTAGGAATATATGTAAATCCATAAATATTTGAAATTCCTAGATTCGACATCATATTTAAACACAACCTCTAATTCCTATATTCCTAAAGCAAAATTTAGGAACAAGAAAAATAAGAGTACGAAATAATAAGGAAGAGACAAAAACAAACAGAAAGAAGAAGAGGAAGAGGAAAAGCTTCAGGAAAAAAGAAAGAAGAAAGAAATATGAGAGAAGAAGAAACAAGAGTGCAGAAACATTAAGAGCAGAAAAGAAGATATGCACCCTGTCACAAAATGTGGTCTTTGTTGACAATATTCAAAGGTTGTTAGAGTTGTTACCAAAATTAGTTAGTTAAATAGCTTAGGCTGCAAGTTATTCATGATGGCTATATAAACTATATTCTCATAGTTGTAAAGATCAATTCAATATCAATGTAATCAATTACTTTCTATCTCTCTCTCTCTCTCTCTCTCTCTCTCTCTCTTATTCCCTTCTCTCTTTTCTTCTTCGATACATGCTCTTTCTGCATTTTTGTTAACATGGTATCGAGCCAGTGATTCTACTGTGAGAGTTGAATGTCTGCTATGTTTCCAGTTCTACTGCTGCGTCGTTCTGCTGCTTCGTTAATGGTGATTTCAGATATGGCAAGTCTGCTTGTCTCGTTTTTCTGGTGCTGACTCAGGTGAAAGTTTCCAAGTTCTTCTTGATCTCTGTGTTTTGTAAAGATTTTTCGAAGTTAAAAGATGTATGTTCTTATACAATTTTGGTAGATTTCTTATTTTTATGATCAGTAGAAGAATAGTTAAAGATTGTTAGGGGCACGAAGCCATTTCTAATTGAGTAGTTAAAGATTGTTATGGGCACGAAGCCATTCTTGGTTGTTCAATCTTTGATTAGCACAGTGGATTGTGAATTGGGTTTAATTCCTTAGTTGGTAATTTTGATTCTTGAAAATGGTCTTGGGGATTCAATTTGTTCGTTTTGGATTGCTGCTCAAAGGACGTACTGCAGTTTTAGGTTTCGTCTTTCTTTATCCACTTCATCTGTTTGTTTAATTGTCTCAATGAATAAGGCATGAAATATTCTCACTTTTGATAATCTTTTCTGGGTTTGAATAATTGTTTCGATCTTCGGGGCTATTCTTCTGCTATGATCGTTGAGGGTTTCTTTCTGTTCGTCGAGGTTTTTTGGTAGCTGATTTGTTAAAGCTTCTGTGATGGGGTTTTCTGATCATCCACTCAAGTCTCAGGTTTTGTTACTCAATTCTGCACTCCATTTATTTGCTTAAATGCCGCACTAAAAATTTTCTTCTTCGATGACGTTTCTTGTATGCCAGTTTGTTTGATAAGGCCGATATCCATTTTTTGTGAGATATTGTTGAAGGAATACAAAGGCCGATAGCCATTCCTTTCTACTGTTTGACTAGTTCTTGTTTGAGATTTGTGCACTCCATAAGGCCAATTGCTAAGAGTATGTTGAATGCAATTTGTTTCCTCCATAAGGCCAATAGCCGGAGTGAAAAATTTTGTCTCAGATATTGGATGTTATTCCTTAAAGGCCGATAGCAGGAGTAACGTTCTTGACAAGTTTTGTTTGTTGTTATTGTGTGCAACTCCATTAAGGCCGATTGCAGGAGTGCAGTTCTTGTTCCCTTTCTTCATTAAAGGCCGATTGCCGAAAAAGGTTATGTTTCTTGATTTCTGTGATTGTAAGAAGTTGATTGATGGATGGTCTGCTTCAATCTCAAACTGGGCAATCCCAGTTGAGATTGAGGGGGGATGTTGACAATATCCAAAGGTTGTTAGAGTTGTTACCAAAATTAGTTAGTTAAATAGCTTAGGCTGCAAGTTAGTCATGATGGCTATATAAACTGTATTCTCATAGTTGTAAAGATCAATTCAGTATCAATGTAATCAATTACCTTCTCTCTCTTTCTCTCTCTCTCTCTCTCTCATTCCCTTCTCTCTTTTCTTCTTCGATACATGCTCTTTCTGTATATCTGTGTTTTCTGCATTTCTGTTAACATATTAAGGGTATAAGTGTAATACAGTTAGAAATACAATTAGGAATATAGTTAGTAAGGTTGTTTGTATTTGGTTAAAAGTAGTTAGGATTTCTCATATAAAAACAGTGTGTGTAATATTCATTTACTTAGTTAATACAAATCCTATTTCTCTCTTTAAACTCTCTCTCTAGAATTTTTTTTGTTTTTCTCTATCATCTTCTTCTTCCTCTGTATCAATTCTTCATACTTTACAATGTAGTTAACATGGTATTAGAGCCAGGTTCATGCCATGGATTATGATGGTTCCACTTCTTAGTAGTTGGCATTTTTTTTATTTTCCTTCTCTAGTTTAGTTTCCCCTCAAATTTTCATTAGATTTTAGATGCTTTTGTGATTGTTCTTGGGTTGATTTTTATGCGACATGAATTGAGATTTCACCACTGATCTTGATGAATTAGACATATGCGTCAGCTTCAAGCGAACAATCAAAGGTTCTGAAAAAACCCAAACTCTCCTGCAACACTCTAATTTTCCGTTTGCAATTCCAGAACAAGATAGCCACTCGTTTGAAATAAGATGTAGACTTTATCGACAAGAGCTCTCCTTATTTGGTCTCCGAGTCCTCTAAGAAGGTGAAGAGTTCACCTCATAGCCAAGTCTTTGAGACCAATCTTGAAAAACTACAAAGACTCTGGATAATGAGAAGAAGGGTGAAGGTGAAGTGGGTCTTTCTGGGTAGTTAAGTACATTGGCCGGGTTGCCTCTGCCATTTGCAGAAAAAGCCCAGATTGTTCTTTCTCTGTTTCTTGTTTCGAATGCCAGAAATATCCATGTTATTTCCTTTTGAGTTTTCTTGAATTTGATTCTTAGCGTGGGCTGAATCCTCAGAGAACAAATGTTGAGGAGTGGCCTTGGCATCAATGCTTAATGCAGTCCAGGAGTTTAAAGAAAGTTCTAGCTCAAACGTTTCATTTGAAGGTTATGTTTTCAGTCCATTTTCTCTAAATTCTTGAACAATTAGAATGGATCTTTTATGGGTTCAAGTCTTTAGTTTCTGGTTAAGAATTACGGTTCTACTCCTTGGTTGTGGCAAGTGTTGTCTGTTGGAAGTATATTTGTTCAAGATTGTTGCTCTAGATTGTTACTGAAATTCTGCTCAGTCTTTTTATTGGGTTTGAATTTTTTGTAAATCTTGATATGTTTGGTGAAATAGGCATGGATTCTTGGATTCTTGTGTTCATTGTCGAATTACTTAGGAAGTTTTGCAGTATCCAATTCTTGTCTCTCTGCTTCACTGAGTTTTTGCAATTCTGTTAAGGAGTTGGTGCAGTAATTTTCCCTTATTTCAGCCTATAATGTTGAGTCTAACAAACTGAGTTGTTAGCATGAATCTACAGTAAATCCGGTTATACGATGACTTTTGAAGAAGTTGTAAACGGTAAATCCCACGAAGGGTAATCCTACATAGATGTTGATTTTCTGTTGTTGAAATTGTGAAGGCCGATGCCACTGTTAAGAGTAGTTGTTTTTTGGTAAAATTCACAAAGAGTGATCCCGTGGTACCATAGTTAAGGCAGATGCCGCATTATAGTTTGTTAATTTTTTGTTTTAAAGGCCGATGCCAATGTTAAATGAAATTGTTGACGGTAAATCCCAGGAAGGGTAATCCCGTGAGGAGTTGTTATACCGGCATGAGGATGTGCTACAACTACTTTAAGAAGGTTGTTCTTGTGTAAAACTCCTGATAGAGGTAGAGGAATACAGGATGTCTTTATTTGTAAGGCAGTGGAAGAAATTTGGACTAACAAACAAAAGTTTTTTGGTTAACAGCTACAAAGAGGTCATGGGGTACACTTGTTTGATTCAAGGCTTTGGGAAAACTAGAAGCTTTGGTGATATGGTTTGACTATATGCGCTTACTCTGTGGTGTATGGTTGTGTGAAGAAACTAAGGATGAGAATGAGGAACAGCTTGTAGAAATATGCCAGGAGGTTGGTCCTGTTGTATCTTTCAGACTAGTTATTGATAGAGAGACTACTCTAAGTGCTTGTCATAATCTTTAGGGTTATGAGATCAATGGCCGACAATTACAAGCGGATTTTGCTGAAAATGACAAAGGCACTGATAGAAGTCGAGATCAGGGTCGTGGTGGACCAGGACTGATTGCTAATGTTGACCTTCAAAAGCAAGGGAGGGCCATCTGTTCATGCAAAATCTCTTCAACATCAGCCAATTGGTCTCCATATAACTATTACTGCAGCTATTGCCATGGTAGGAGCTCTAGGTGGTGCTCAGTCAAAGTGCTACAGAGATGCCCAAATCCTTTAAGGGTTCCATTATTGCAGCTATGAAGATCAAGCAGATGTCTCAAATTGGATGAAGTGGGATTGCAAGATTACAGATGGTTCAAATATGTGTTCTGTTTTATGATTTAATAGCAATGATTGCAAATGTTCTTCCAATCTCAAACTGGGTTTCCCCAGTTGAGATTGAGGGGGAGTATTAAGGGTACAAGTGTAATACAGTTAGGAATATAGTTAGTAAGATTGTTAGTATTTGGTTAAAAGTAGTTAGGATTTCTCTTATAAAAGCAGTGTGTGTAATATTCATTTACTTAGTTAATACAAATCCTATTTCTCTCTTTAAACTCTCTCTCTCTCTAGAATTTCTTTTGTTTCTTTCTATCATCTTCCTCCTCCTCTGTACCAATTCTTCATATTTTACAATGTAGTTAATAGTCTTTTGTTTTTCTTTTTGTACGGTTTAGGCTTAAGCCTATATATGAGTGGTTATATTTCTCCCTAATTTTTGGTTAGTTTATAGCTTACCCGAGCCAGACATAGATTAATTCGTGCCCACCATCATCTATTAAGAAGAAATTAAAGCTTCTTTATAGAGAGAGAGAGAGATATATATATATATATATATTTTTTTTTTTAACTCTATTTTTTGTTTACAATAAAAGGGAAATGAATGAGAATGATTCATTTCCCCACACATTATCACCACTAGAGTAATCGTAAGAGCTTACATTTATGTATTTTTGTTGGACTCTCTCTGTGAAGTGGTAGACACTACAGAGAACAGAAAAGAAAAATCAATGGCTATATATATATATATATATACTTGTTACCTATATATATATTCACTGAGGTAACAAGATGATCAGTTATCACTACTACATGCATGTATACATATACTCCATCAGTTTTTCATTCCTCCCTGCTAGCCTGGCCTTGTGGTCCTTAACAGGCTTGAATCTTTCCAAAACTTGGCTGGAAGTCCTTGCTGAGGTATTGGAAATGGGTCGTAATGAACCCCACCACTCGACCTCACCACTTCCCATCTGCAGCAGATTAAACACTACCAATATCAAAATTTGAGTTTTTGACCTCTCTGATTTATATAATATATATATATATATATATATATATATCTCGATACATTCTTACCTAAATTTGTTAACAAGATGGTGGATGAAAATAAGCATCTCCAGCTTGGCAACTTCATTTCCTGGACATATATGAAGTCCATTTCCAAATGGCATGAATGTGTTGGGTTTTACTCCGAGCTTTGATGCAACAAATTAAACAGAACTAATTAGTTAGAATCTCATTAGATTTTCTTTAATTTACGTTCAAACAATGTCCACATATACCTCAAATCTTGATGGATTGAATTTATGCGGATCAACAAAAAATTCAGGATTATGATGGATGTTCCGGAACAAAGGCAGTACCTTCCATCCCTTTGGGATCATGTATCCTGTTGGACATGACAAAAAGCAGGCAACTAATTAAGTTAACTTCACATTTTCATAACTAGGGTTTCTTTCTTAATTTCATTCTTTTCCTGTAAGTGAACTTGTTGATTTAAGTTTCTCTTCGGAATTACAGCAGGGGAATTGACAATTAATAATGTGCCTGCTAGGGTTTGACAGGGACTGAGTTTTTGCCTTTTGTTAGAGTGGGGTTCTTGTAAATATAGGTCACTAGAAAATGTACTACTATACAAAGGGAAAGCCTTGTTATATACTTTTCCTCAATAATTGAGTTGGATCTTTCTCTTTCCAGGCGATGTCATTTGTGTTTGTGCTATCAATCTCCAACAGTAAAGTTAGCTAGCTACTACTATTTTCCTTGTCATGGCTCCGAGAAGAACTTACCTGTAATAAGGATACCACTCCTCTATCTCTACACCTCTGAGGTGACGAGAGATGTAAATACAAATTAAGGGCGTACGTGTTGCTTTTAAGTTTCGTTAGGAAAGTAATGATATCATTAAGCCTACCTTTGTATTCAACATCTTCGACAGCTTCCCTAAAGGTGAAGGATACGATGCTTGCCATCCTCAAGCTCTCCTTTATAGCCTACGAAACAAATCCCAGTTTAGTGTCTCGTTCACTTTGATGCATTTTAGAAGAAGAATTTATTTGAGAAAGTAGGAACTAAGGTTGTATTTAATGTTTTATGTTCAATAATGCGAAATGTATAATTAAGTGAAAATCAGTGATAGACATCTCCCACAAACCACGACGCGTGACATGTGATCAATTTATTATTGGTTTCTGGTATTAATGACATATCTTTTGATGTGATCGTAATATCAATATATGATGTTATTAATTTTCTTATGTTCTACGCAATTTTATTTTGTAAATATTATAACCTAAAGTAAAAGTATTAAAATATATGTAACACGTAGATCCAAGGGCAGAGTCAATATTTTCATTGGTGGACTAGATAAAATAATTACCATAAAGTAACGTAATTAGGTGGGCTATACATAAGTATAATACATATACTATTAGCAGAACTTCAAACTAAATCTCCCTAAGTTACAGCCCACCTTAGTCGTGGGTGTAGCTCCGCTAGTGCATAGATCACAACCACTATGTAGCGTTGTTGTGATAACACCCAAAAAATTCCACTGTACCACGGTAAAAATGTTATATATACCTAAGATTTTCTTGAAAAGTATATATGAGCTTGTCAAACTGTACTTACCCTGCTGGTAAGGGGCATATTTCTAGTCTGTGACCAACTCAGCGAATGATTTCCTCCTTCATTTGATTCAAAAATTGTCTTCTGTTCTATCTGTATATGATAACTTCTCATTAACGTACCGTAACATTTGGTTCTAATTAATATTGATGCAAAATGAGGCCTGTTAACAAGAGTACGTAATACTTTTTAAATAGACAAAAATGACGCACTTGCTGACACTCTATAATATAAGTGTGTGTTACGTATAATGATCGAATCCACCTTCACTAGAGACAGTATTAGCAAATGCGATAGTTTTGTATGTCTAAACAACATTATTAAAGTTATAAATTCTAACCTGGATAGCTTCTCGAAGCTTTGAGTCATCGTGAATGTATTTGATCATCCAAGTTAAGAGACTGGCTGTGGTGTCCTGAGCAGCAAACGTTACTCCAATGATGTTGTCAACGATTTGATCATGTGTTAGTGTTTCTCCCTTCTCATCTTTGAAGTCCAATAGTCTGCCCAATAGATCTTTACGCACCAAACTCTTTTCTTTTCTCTCTTTTATTATCTCACCGAGAATTAAGCTCAGTCTCCTCCTTGCCTTCACAAATGAATTTAGATTCCCATGCAGTTGCACAAAGATATTGTACAAGAATTGAACATTAAAAAAACGAGAGTTACTTAGTTTGATTAGTACCTTCTGATCGAACTGATCACGGTAAGTAAATTGGTAATTATTGGTACATTATTATGCTTACCAAAACCGATTTATTGTACAAGGTGCCTGGGAGTTTTGTAGGGAAAGAATTGTAGCCTTTGTCTAGAGTGTAGTAGTTTTTCTTGAGCATCTCTTTGTAGTGATTGTTCAAGTGACCAAAGATAAACAAGACAGCAACATCGAAGGTGAACTGCATGCCATGATTACGAAGATGATTAGTAACTAAATACCTAGAGATATCGAAGAGTCCAATTAGTTCAAGCATCATCGAGTAATACTTATAACACAGTAATTAAAAAAGTTTAAAAACTCATAGTCAGAATAAGTTTATAACTACACAAAAAAAAAAAAAAAAGATCAGTTACATAGCATGATTGAATTAGTAATAGGGAGGTTTAACAAAATACTCCCGGTACTGTTCACTTTTAATGAAAAGTCCACATTTATACATTTCCCTGGCACTATTCACTATACCTTTAAAATGGACTTTTCATTAAAAGAGAAGTTTTTTTTTTTATTTTTCGTTAGTTTTCCTTTAGTAATACCACATACCACTACCCTAAAAAATCTCTAGTAGTAAACAAAAGCTTGTTGGTTTGGAGGTTCTAAAATTAGTTTAAAAGAACCGAAAAGAGAATTGTTTATAAACTTTTGCAGTAAAAAAAAAAATCGACTGTTTTATATGTAAACTAAAACTTTCACTGTACGAGGGGATAGTTTATCGTTGCACATGCATAAATGTAACTTATGCATGCATATTAAATTTCATGTAAAATTATGCCATTTTCAAGTTGATGTTACAGACACAAACTATACGTATGCATCAACACAAAAGTACACACACACACACACACACACACACACATATATATTCAAACAATGAAGTAAATTACTAAAAAAATTAAAATATACATACATATTTATAATAAAATGATAAACCTTGACCAACCTTCTTTAACTCATAAAAGGTGTTAACAACTTTTCCAGACCACGAGTCTAAGGTAGAAATGGCAATGACTTCAATATCTGGCACCGAGCTTCTGATAACATCCAAGGACAAAGATCCTTGGACTAATCTTCTAATCTGTGCATGGTAGTCATCTTGGTGGAAGAAAAGTGCTGAGGGACCAATTAATCTTTCTTTACTTTGAGGGTATGTGGGTTTAAACAAGTGTGCCTGAGTCACCAGCACAAACCGCACAGCCTCTGGGCTAGACAGCATCACACAAGGACTGCCAAGTATGTGAGTCTTGAAAACTTCTCCATACCTAACATTAATTAACATAAATTTAATTAAAAAAATTATGTTCATCCCGTCTTGATAAGCGTATGCAGTGGATTTAATTACTTACGTGTTGTTCCTAGAGGAAAAAAAGACATTAGGGTTTTGAGAGTATAGTTGCATGGTTTCACCTACATAGGGCCAACCCATTGAACCTGGAGGTAGATTGGCTCTAGGTTTCCGTGATCTCACTTGTTTTGCAAGTAATAAGATGAATGGAAAAAGAGCAATAAGAAGAAAATTGTAAAGAGGAAAAACAATATACATGTTGCTCTCTTTGATCGATATAGCTAAAGGCAGTAAATGATTAAGGACATTGTGTCCAATGAATATGGCTATGCTTATTTATATCGGAGTTGTAGGCAGGTAGTGACAATTTGTGAGTTATTCGACTATTCTCTGCCACCCGATTTCAGTGGACAGTGGCTAGCCTGCCAGGGCCAATGTCTGATTGCCCGACCTGGTTGCACAACTTTCCAGTGTCCAAACCAACCCACAATTTTACCTCTCAAAACGGTTGCCAATTGCTTATTTAGCCCCAAAAAAAAAAAAAAAAAAAAAAAAAAAAAAAAAAACCTTTAGAGTTGATAATTAATTACTATTTTTTTAATTAAAGGTAATAAGTATTTCATTAATCGAATAAATGAGTAACATATTTAACCAAGCAAAAGATAACAATCATGAGGACAAAACTTTGCATCACTTTCTAATGAACTTACAAAAGAAGATGCTCATTCAGCAAAGAAGCCCTGCTATGAGTCATTACGAAGATGTTCTTATAGTCCTTTGTTAGGCAAACAGACAATGAAACCACAAACCAATTAATATATATATATATATATATATATATATGACACAAGACAAAATAAACTCTTCATAGGTACGATTCCTATTTCACTGATAAGAGACCCGCACCTAACCAATAGGAAAGATAAGCTCACAAAGCCTAAACCCTACGATTCAGACGTAATACCGCCAAGAAACACAAGATAAACATTGAACCATCACCTGAAGACTTTGCAACAAGAAGAAAACATGATTTTGAATCTCTCGAACCACTACAACGACCTAAAGAGCGCACCGCCCTTTGATGATCTTGCAATTGTTGGCAAATCTCTACTATGAGTCACCTCTAATAAACATTGAGCTTCATCCGCATAATCCTTGCCAAGCGCACAAATCATAAAACCACCACCTCAAACTTGAACAACAATTGTCACTTAAGATCTAGTTGAGCAGTAGGTAGTGTTTAAAATATCGATTGGAAATGTCAATATACAAATTTATGGAAATATTGATGCATATACCGATATCCATATTGGTTGCCTTCGACGAAAATTTACAATGGTTGGGTATATTAGCTCATTCAGATTTAGTCGAAATTAGAGAAAATTAAAAATAAAAATAAAAATAAATAAATAAAAATTAAAAAAAAAAAAAGAAATCTAAAGTTCGAAATCTACAATAGGTTTTGGCAAAATTTACGTAGTGAATTGGTAAATATCGTCAATATAGGGTGAAGTTTGCATTTCACCCATTTTTCCATATCAATCCTTAGTTTGGAATTGGGGGCGGTAGATGTTTCTTTAATAAATTTTTTTTCAATATGTACTTTATCTCAAGTCACAGCCGATGATACTTTTTTTCCCGCTCATATTTTTGGTCCAACGATATTAGATTTTGAATCCGGCAGATACCCAGCCAAAAAAATTCTGGTGAGATGAGGCTAATGAGCCGAAAAAAGTAGAAATAGTTAAATGAAGAAGCCACAGTATATTGAAGAGAACAACGTAGATTCTTGAAACTTTGAGCAACAAAATACTTTCTTCCTTATAACAAAATATTAAATATTGAGGGTAGTTAATTTTTATTTCTTTTTTGATACATTTATGTCCATGTTACGTACTTATCTTGTTAAATCAAGAATCTTGGTTACATTATGTATACCACGCTGAAAATTTTAATGTCCGAATTACGCATCAGTTGTCTTTTTTACATAAATTTCAATGAGTTAGATTGTGAATCTGACTAACATGATGACGCATGGTAACCTTAGTTGTCTTATTCACACCAAGTGTTCACTCATTGTTAATCAGTTAAAATGAGTCATATTTAATTAACTTGATTCTAATCACATACTTATCTTGTCATATTACAAATCAAGATGAGATGCCACGACATGCATAAAATTTTTAATATCTGGATCGTTTAAGTCTTGGTTATCTCGTTCACATTGAATGAATTTAGTATTGACCAGTTAAAACACGGGTTGAAATTTTGTTAACCCACAAAATTTGATAGTGACCCAGTAAAGAATACAAAGTTAGTTTTCTTTCCTCATTTCTTAGGCTCTTAATTATCTATACTTTGGACATTTCTCAACACACTATATTCTAGACTTAAAGAAAGGGGAATAGATCATAATACATAACCTCTTCCTCCGCTAAATGATATAAAGCTACTTGTAAAAAAATTTGGAAATTGATAACCCTAGACCACAAAAATAACAGCAAATTTTTAGTCACAGAGTGAACAAGAAAACAATATTCATTTTTACACACGCGTGCGTGCGCACACAAACATCAATTAGCGAGCACTTAAAAAGGGTCTGGTCAACATTAGATCAATCGAGCCAAAGCACTGAAACTCTTTGTTCCACCCAAAATTATCTGCGGTTTCGTATATGTTGTTATCCAACTTGTTTAAGAATCATTACTACACTAGCTATATCAACAAAAGCGTCCGTACAGTTCCATGAAAACAACAGAAATCGAAGAAATATATACGCCAAAAAACTCATTTCCATCCGCAATAAGTGGACGTTCGTAAAATATCAATTCAGAGAAAATAGTTTGGCAACACGTGATGAAATACCTATACATAACATTAATTTTTTTTCCTTTTTTTTTTTTTTGGCCAATCAAATGTAATGAGTGTCTTTTTAATTTGCTTAAAATATCGATGTTTATTAATCATGAAAAAAAAAAATAGCACTATAATTATCGATTTCGTTTGTCTAAGGGCAGTTCCATGCAGAATACGTTGGCCGCCCGTAGCAGATTGGACAATCTAGCGGTCTTCGACAAGTCTCATCGGACGGTGACCATGGCCTCTACCAAACCACATGGGGCCTTAAGTCGGTGATGCGGACGTGGAAAGTAGTAGAATATGGGGGCTACTCGAGCTGGACAGTCCCTAATAAACTCGAGATGTCAATCTCTACGGTTTATGGTAGTGCTAGAAAACTCGAAGGTGTTCTAGCAAGGAGGGTTGGGACCGCAGTGAATTTACCACCTCACATGTATAAGGTTTTACAGTAGGTCAAAGTATGAACAAAAGAAATACTTCTATAAAAGTTGAGATGAGAAACTTTGGTTCATGTCGTGCGAAATATAAAACATCGTGTTCATGCAACATTCATTACGTAATCTGTTTGATATTAAAAATATCATTCACGCACGGAGGTCTTGCACAAGATAAACCATGTCTCTCACCTCATCATTGTTATCAAAGCTTGAAGGAATCCAAAAAATTTATGAGATTTTTGTCTTGTTTGCTACATAACAAGTTTTACGAGTTATGAACTACTTATACTTTGCTACGTAACAAATTTGAAACTTCATGATAATAAAGTGTCAATGTTTAATGGACTTTTGATAAAGTGAAAAAAAAATAAATTTTGATTGCTAAACTAATTAAGATTAATTATCAATAACATATAAATCATATATTAAGATATCGACCAAATATCAACGATACAGAGTAATGAGAAATAGATGTCATACTACAAACTTCAGCAGTCCTGGGCTGAAATTAGGTCATTTTAGCCAAAAAAAAAAAAAAAATCAAAAGGCTTCAACCAAACTATATGCAAAATATAATTTACCCGAGATTTTATTTTTATTTATTAAATCATATCAAAACATAAAATAAGTTTGTCTTTTTTTTTTTCCTCCAAAAGTGATACTCTATATAATGTTTCTCCACACAATATTCGTTTTAATTTTTTTTTTTTTTAACAAACGATATATAGTGTGGCAATATTCGTATTGAATTGGATTAGTTTATTCTATCAACATTACTAGTACTCATAATTGACTTGCCTTATCCATAAAGTTGATTTGAAATTGACTTTCCTTACTTATCCTCAACTTTTGTACAATTATTTATCATCTGTTACAGTGATCAGATTAGCACACATTCCAGCAATAATCATACCCTATAAACTTATCTAATGGCACTTAATACTCTATCTGCAGCATCAGCCCCAAATAGTCTTGGAAAATTGGTCTGTTGGAGCACAGTCCAAATGTGCAGCTAAGATGTAATCTTAGAGTTAGTGATTTGTGTTGACACTTGTAACTATCTTATAGGGTAGATTACATGAATGGTTGGATTTGATTGTAATGGAATATATCTCTCTCTCTCTCTCTAACGGTAACATACCCTCTCACACATGTTTGGTGTGAGGTGTGAATGAATGCAAGCAATTCTGTGAGGAACATTCTCTCTCTACAATCTCTGTGAAAATCCAAAAAACCTTTCATCATCATTTTCGTTACATCTTTCCAAAATTGAGATCATAGTCTCTAAGATTCTAACATGGCCTTAGAGCCATGTTTGATCGCTTGATCCTAGGCGTTTGAATTTGTGAAGAAAATGGTCTGAAACTCGAAGAAATTGCTTACGTGATCTGTGTCTAACATAGTAGGATTTGGAGGTGGTAAGCTGAGAGTGCTGATTTTCAATGGTGAGAACTATGAATTCTGGAGTATAAAGATGAATATACCGAAATGAGAGATGATGAGTCCTTGTCTGTTTATCTTACCAGTGGCAGAGCCAATGCGGGGGCATTGGGCTCCCTTGACCCCAATAGATTATAAGTTACCCCTTTTAAAAAATAATTGACCCCTTTAATAAACTTTCAATTTTCCAATCCCCCCCCTCTTCTATCAGAAAAGTGACTTTTCCCATGCTATCAGAAAAGTGACTTTTCCCATAACTCATTTCTCACGCTATCAGAAAAGTGACTTTTCCTATAACCCAGTCCACACCAGAACCCAGCGATCTTTCTTGTTCTCCAGGTTGCATTCTTCCGGCTCGGCGTCCTTCCTCTAGTAAGTTTCTCTAATCTAAAATTTCATTATTTATTTGTTTGAGTTTTTAAATTTGGAGATGGGAGAATCTGAGTGAAAGAGGGGTGGGAAATTTGAAACCAACATAAGAAAAATTGAATCAATTCACTCATGTTAATTCCTGTATTGTAATTCTAAACCAAAATGAATGATAAGAATATAAGATTTTAACATACGATGATGAAGTTGTAGCAGGAAAAAGATAAGGCAATCAAATGGAAAATAAAGGAATAAGACAAATTCAATCACATGTAAAATGAAATCTGAATTGCATAATAGAATGGATTGAGGAAAGAGGAGGTCTGGGTATTAGACTTAATATATTTCATAAACAACTAAAAACACTAACCTGAAAGAATCCATAAATTATGCTTAATTGATATAGTACTTGAAGTCAACATGGCATGTAGGAAACTGATTATGCAGAGTGATGCTGCAGAGGGATGCTGCAAAATGATGCTGAGATTGATACTGCAAACTGATTCTGAGATTGATACTGCAAACTGATTCTGCAGATTAATTGTGGGGTTTATCTTAAGGTTTGTGGGGATTGTATTGGTCTGTGATTATGTGAACTCTACTTCTGTTAATTTGATCAAATTTATATTATGTTGTTAACTCTTTTTGGTATTATTTAAAATAGTTATGGAGAGGTATTTTAAGAGAAAATCAACCGAAGATAACCTCTCACCCTCTACAATAAATATTCCTGAAAGTTCAAATGAAAATAACATAGAAAGTATAATGGCAAATCTTCCAGGAGATCCTAGGCTTTGACTCCGGATATTAGAATATGATCTAAATATTAGAGATCAAGCACGTATTGATTATCGCACTCGTTTGAATGCATCACTTGATTGCATTCGCTTCTTATTGCGACAAGTTTTTGCTTTTCACAATCATGATGAAAGTGAAGATTCAAGCAATAAGGGTAATTTTCTTGAGCTTTTGAAGTTTCTTGCAAATCATAATGAGGGTATTAAAGATGTGGTGTTTAAAAATGCTCCTGAAAATCTCAAGTTAACATTACCTGAAATTCAAAAAGATCTTGTGTATGTAGCAACATGTGAAACCACCAATGGTATCATGTTTGATATTGGTGATGATGCTTTCTTTTCTGTTTTGGTTGATGAATCGCGTGATATATCAGTCAAGGAGCAAATGGCAGTTGTACTTCGCTATGTGAATACCAACGGACAAGTAGTTGAAAGATTTGTGGGCATAAAGCATGTTCCTAATACCACTGCTTTTTCACTTAAAGAGGCAATTGATCAGTTATTCTCTATAAATGGATTAAGCATATCTAGATTGCATGGACAAGGTTATGATGGGGCTAGCAATATGCAAGGTGAGTTTAATGGCCGTAGGACACTTATTTTGAAAGAAAATGAAAGTGCATTTTATCTTCATTGTTTTGCACATCAACTTCAACTTGCTCTTGTAGCCGTGGCAAAAAATCATATTCAAATTGGCCCTTTTTCTGCTTGGTTAATAATGTTGTTACTATTGTCAGAGTATCATGTTAACGTCAAGACATGGTTAGAGAAAGACAACAAGCCAAAGTTATGGAAGCTATTCAAAATTATAAGCTTCCAAGTGGGCAAGGCTTGAACCAAGAAACTAGTCTTAAACGTGCAAGTGATACACGTTGGGGCTCACACTATGGTACCTTGGTAAGCTTGATTAATATGTTCTCTTCTGTAATTGAGGTGCTTGAGATGATTGTAGATGATGGTGTAAGTCTTGATCAAAGAGGTGAAGTGGATATTTTGTTGAATCTTTTGCAATCTTTTGATTTTGTCTCTAGTCTTTTTCTGATGAAAGAAATATTGGGAATCACAAATTTGTTGTCACATGCATTGCAAAAGAAAGATCTCGATATAGCGAGCGCTATGGCTTTAGTCAAAGCATATAAGCAACAACTACAAGCAATGAGGGATAATGGATAGGATGATTGGCTTGATAAAGTTTCTTCTTTTTGTGGCAAGCATGATATTGATATTCCTGATATGAATGATATCTTTGTAGCTCGAGGGAGGTCACGGCGTAGAGTTGAAAATTTGACAAACCTTTATCACTACCATGTTGATCTCTTTATTGATATTATTGATAAGCAACTTCAAGAGTTGAACAGTCATTTTAATGAGACAACTACATAGTTGCTTTTTTGTGTAGCATGCTTAAGCCCAGATGACTCATTCTCATCTTTTGACATTGAAAAGTTAGTTCAACTTGCTCAATTTTATCCAAAAGATTTTTCTAATATGGAGCTCACACTTCTTGAAGATGAACTGAAGAATTATATTTTTGATATGCGTTTGCATAATGAATTTTTTGCGTTGAAAGGAATTAATAGCCTTGCACAAAAGTTGGTGGAGACAAAAAAGGATAGACAGTATCCCTTGGTGTACTTGCTAGTGAAATGAGCATTGATTTTACCTATTGCGACTGCTTTAGTTGAAAGAGCTTTTTCGGTGATGAAAATTGTGAAGAATCCACATCGTAATAGGATGGGTGATCAATGGTTGAATGATAGTTTGGTTGTGTACATTGAGAAAGAGGTATATGATTCTATTAATAATGATGTTGTAATACAACGTTTCCAAAATATGAGAACACGTCGTGGACAATTATAAATAAAGTATATCGATTTTTGAAAGCTATTTTTTGTCCTCATTGTCTTAAATTCCTGGCTCCGCCACTGTATCTTACAAAACTGTTTGATCTGGTTAATCAAATGAGAAGCTATAGAGGAATTGGCTAGAAAGAATTGTGCAGAAAATGTTAATTAGCTTGCCTTCTGCATATGATCCTATATGTTCTATGATTGGGCATTCAAAGGATATAGATGTGATTGAGGTTCAAGAAGTTGTTGCCTTATTGAAGAGCTTTGCACAAAGGCTGGAGAGGCATAATAAGAACAAAACTGAAAGAGCTTTTGCTAGTCTCAGTGTGAACCCCAACCATACCAATTATTCTGGAAATCAAAACAATCGATACCATAAAATTGGAAACCAAAATTCAAAAAGTGGGCTCAAAAGCCTACTTATCAATCTGGGAAGCAAATTACAACTGCTAATGGTGGTAGAAATCCTTGTAAGTATTGTGATAAGTATCATTATGGTGAATGTTTTCTTAAAGGCAAACCTAAATGTCACAGTTGTGGGAAAATTGGTCATATTGCAAGGGACTGCAACAACAAGAAAAATGTTCAGCGACTGAATTATGCAACTCAGGGCTCCTCTACTCTAACTATGTTTTATGCCAGTAATGCAGTTAATATGAATTCCATTGAACGTGTGTGGTATGTGGATAGTGGTTGCAACAACCACATGACTGGCAGAGAAGGTGTACTAGTTGATATTGATAGAAGCATAACTGCAAAGGTAGAAATGGGCACAGGATAAATAGTTGATGTTATTGGAAAAGGTAGCATAATGGTTGACACTAAAATAGCAAGAAGATAGATCAGGGAAATTATGCTAGTTTCTAGAGAATCTACTCAGTGTAAGGCAGATGATGGAGCATGGATATTTTTTTATTTTTGGTGACAACAAGGTTAAGATTTATGATGACCTCACTCTTTCCAATTTGGTTGCTAAAGTACCAATGAAAAGAAACAGAAGTTTTCCTTTGAAGCTTCAGACTGACTTACACTTTGCTTTGAGGGAAGATCTAAGTAAGTCAACATTGATCTGGCATAGAAGAATGGGACACTTAAATGTGAATAGTTTGAAGTTACTTCAGGAGCAAGAAATGGTGCTTAACTTACCAAAGATCAAGAACACCAAGGAAGTGTGTGAGGGCTGCATTCTTGGGAAACATTGCAGAGATACTTTTCCAAGAGAGACAATAAGTAGAGTTACTATCCCTCTGAAATTGGTACACAATAATGTTTATGGACCAATGCAAACTGTTACAAAAGCTGAAAATAGGTACTTTCTTACCTTTATTGATTATTGTACTTGGATGTGTTGGGTTTACTTCTTAAGACACAAATATGAAGTGTTCAATGTATTTAAGAAGTTTAAAGCTACTGTTAAATTGCAAAGTGGTTATAAGTTGAAGAAATTGAGAAGTGACAGAGGGGAAGAGTATACATCCATGGAGTTCAACAAGTTTTGTGAAGAAATGGGAATGGAGAGACAACTCACAGTAGCCTATTCACCACAACAGAATGGGGTAGCTGAAGAAAAAACAGGACCATTGTGGAAATGGCTAAGTGTATGATGTTTGAAAAGAAATACCACTTGAGTTTTGGGCTGAAGTAGTTAACACTGCTGTGAATGTTTTAAACAGAAGTCCAACTAAAGCTTTGGATAAGAAAAACCCTTTTGAAGCCTACAGTGGAAAAAAGCCAAAGATTAAGCACTTAAGCATGTTTGGTTGACTGTGCTATGCACATGTTCCAGAACAATAGAGGCAGAAACTTGATTTATATAGCACAAGATGTGTATTACTAGGATATGGAAGTTGTGAAAAAGGCTATAAGTTGTACAATATTGAATCTGGAAAAGTTAGTATCTCCAGGGATGTATTGTTTAATGAAGAAGCATGCTGGGATTGGAGTGCACAAGAAGAAAGAAGTATTTCAATTCCACTTGTTGAAATGTCCATTGAGAAGGAAAGAAAGACATGTGAATCAAGTTTAGCTCAAGCTGTGATATCAGAAATGCATGATATGACATCTGGAAGTTCTAAAGAATCACAAATTGAGATAGATGCTACAGGACAAAGTGGAGGTCCTAGTTCACAAGATTTTGATCATACTCCACTTAAGTATAAAAGTATTGCAGAAGTGTATGAGAATTGCAACCTGTGCATTGTTGAGCCTGAAACTTTTGAAAATGCTGCCAAGGATGAAGCATGGTTGAGAGCAATGGAGAATTAAATTACAATGATAGAGAAGAATAATACTTGGAGTTGGTTAGTAGATCATCTGATGAACCAGTGATTAGTGTCAAATGGGTTTACAAAACCAAATTAAATCTTGATGGCTTAGTGCAGAAAAACAAAGCAAGGTTGGTTGCAAAGGGCTATTCTTCGAAGCTAGGGGTAGATTTCAATGAGACATTTGCCTTAGTTACAAGGCTTGATACAATTAGGACACTTGTTGCACTTGTTGCACAAAAAGGGTGGAAACTGTTTTGGATGTGAAGTCAGCATTTCTGAATGGAGTATTATATGATGAGGTATACGTTGATCAACCTCCTAGTTTTGGGATTAAAAACAAGGAAGATAAAGTTTACAAGCCCAAGAAGGCATTGTATGGCCTTAAACAAGCTCTAAGAGCTCGGCATGAAGACATCAACTCATATTTCACTAAAGCTGGTTTTAATAGAAGTCCTAGTGAGGCAACACTATATATCAAGACCTCTAAAAGTGGAATACTCATTGTGTCATTGTATGTAGATGATATCATATACACATGGAGTTCACAAGATGATATGATAAAGTTCAAAACTGAAATGATGAGACAGTATGAAATGACTGACATTGGATTGCTGTATCATTTCCTAGGATTAGATGTTCTACAAACTGAATCTTGCATTTTCTTGCACCAAAAGAAATATGCAAAGACTTTATTGGATAAATTTGTTCTCAGGGATTGCAAGGTTGTTGCTACTCCTCTTGCAATGAATGAAAAACTGTCTAAAGTTGATGGAAGTGAATAAGCTGATGAGAGTTTGTATAAACAGATTGTTGGGAGTCTCTTCTATTTAATTGCTACAAGGCCAGATATCATGTTTGCAGCAAGTCTGTTAGCCAGATTCATGCATAACCTACCAGAAAACATATGGGAACAGCCAAGAGGGTGCTTAGGTACATTCAATGTACACTTGACTATGGAATAGCTTATGAAAAGGGGAAAAAAGCATTGTTAATCGGTTATTATGATAGTGACTGGTCAAGGAGTGAGGATGACATGAAGAGTACCTCTGGATATGCATTTAGTCTTGGTTCTGGAGTATTGTCTTGGGCATCAATCAAGCAAAGTAGTGTTACTCTCTTAACTGCAAAAGCAGAATATGTTAGTGTAGCAAAAGCCATTGCCCAAGTAATCTGGTTGAGGTTTGTACTCTCAGATTTTGGTGAAGAATGAGTTGAACCAACACAGATCCTATGTGACAATACTTCGACTATAACTATAACCAAGAATCAGTGCATCATCACAAAACAAGGCATATAAACAGAAGGTTTCATTTCACTCGAGATGCTTTACAAGATGGAGAAATTGATCTGTTGTATTGCAAGACTGAGGAGCAAGTAGCAGATATTTTTACCAAAGCATTGGCCAGAGATCAATTTGACTACATGAGGAAGGCACTTGGAGTAATCTCAGCACAAAACTTAGAAGAGAGTGTTGGAATATAAGTGTTTGTGCTAGAGATGTATTTGATTAAGTCTTAGTTTTCCAGTTTTAATGTGAGTCGTTGGATCACATTCCAAATGTGCAGTTAAGATGTAATCTTAAAGTTAGTGATTTTGTGTTGACACTTGTAACTATCTTATAGGGTAGATTACATGAATGGTTGGATTTGATTGTAATGGAAAGTGAGAATCTCTCTCTCTCTCTAACGGTAATATACCCTCTCACACACGTTTGGTGTGAGGTGTGAATGAATGCAAGCAATTATGTGAGGAACATTCTCTCTTTGCAATCTCTATGAAAATCCAGAAAACCTTTCATCACCATTTTTGTTACATCTTTCCAAAATTGAGATCATAGTCTCTAAGATTCGAACAAGACTCGCATTGTTTTCTATAATCTCCCCCAAGCCTTTTCCCTACCCGCTAGCCTCCACTTCTATCCAAACCAAAATCATCGTTGAAGACACTATGCTTCGGATGTATAGCAAGGAAGAGAAGTAGGGTTTAACCTCAGCATGTTTCTTAAGATTCAGCCAGGGTGTGTCCAATTGGTTGTCTTGATAAAATGTTTGGAGGTAGTCAGGGTGGATGACTAGGTCTTTTCTTGGAGACAGGTCAAGGATAAGGACTAGGGCTGTTGGATTGCTCTGGATGAGCTCAAGCAGGAAGTTTGGTGCATCTGTGGTTGGGTTCAGATACGATGAGAGACTTGTAATGTTTAGTACTCCACATGTTGGTAGCTCACAATGCAGCCAGCTTCCTAATATGAAATCAATCTAAAATATATGAAAATCAATTAAGAAGAACAAATTATTCACATTCCTAAACCATATATAACAATAAAAACTGTTTCATAAATCTTTAAACTTCAAGAGTAAAAGATAATTTGTATATTCTATATACAAAAGCGCTAACTGGTTAGTAAGTTAATTTATCACTAAGTCAATAACTAGGTTAAGCTAACTGATCTGCTTCACAATAATCCTAATGATGATGTGAATTGGTCATTTTGAAATATGATCATCTTTGTAAAAATTTCACTTAAATAAAAAACATTAGTTATCCAACTAACTACATGAATAAGCAAACAGTGTTGTAAAAAAACAAATTTGTTGAAGACGACAATCAAATAGCTAAACGATTTATGGTTAGGTGAATCTTTACCGGAATGATCCTTGATTTACAACCCAAAAATAAACGGTTTGGATAATGAAATTAAAGTTATAGAGCCAATGAAAATGAGCAGT